AATTATTTGTCTATAGTTTTCTCACCCATTTTAAACGTGAAATTAATGATCATTAGTCATATTGTTACTTTCATACTATAACTTTTTTTTGTTAAAAAGATGTACTCCTAGTACGTACTGAGCATGTGTGTGAGCGAGAAGAATACAAGATCGAAATGGAGTAGTTCAAGTGATAGCAATGGCCACAACGATAAAGTACGTGGGAAATATCTCCGAAATGTGTATGAACATTCAGGCTAGCTAGCTCATGAGCTTCCTTGCAAAATCATCACAGTTAACCTGATGAGCTGTTCTGTGATATCCTTTTTAGATTTCTGAATACGTAAGAAAGGTATAGGAAGAAGTTCTGTGAAATGTGGCAAGCTAGCAGTGCATGCGCATGCGCGTCATACGATGATAAATTATTACTCCCTTAGTCTTAAAATGCAGCATGCGCGTAATACGATGATATCCTCGTCGTTTAACAACCTAATATATTTACTATACAACTGTTGTATCCAAATTTATAATTAAAAGTTACTATATTAAGATGGGGTGAGGCTTCGAACTCAGGTCATAGTCCATTACCTTATGAAAAGCTAGCCGGAAGATCCCAGTGTTTCTTGATAATAATATATAATGATAGCTAGTGAGATTGTGGTCCAAGTTGCTAGCTGGATTCTTTCGGCAGGTTGTCGTCCAAGTGAGCTTCTTGCCCATTTCAATCCAATCGTGGTACTTCCATCAGAGCTGGTACTGCTTGTTCTTACGCAACTCCACAAGACCACAACACGTATACTCTGCTATACGTTTGCAAACCATGCAAACACCGTGCTGCACATGAAGCAGAATGCATTACATCGTGCGAGCATAGCATCGTGAATATATATACGGGAATTCAGCAAAGAAAGAAGAAGAAAAATTCTTGTCTCTTGCTCGCTTTGGAGAACGAAACGCGAGTCCCATCGTACGTACAGCTTCACCAGGACTAACCAACGAACGGGAAAAGGAGAACACGTTGCTGAGATATAGATAGATCGATCGAGGATTCGAGGACAAGCACTCCAGCCTAGCTATTGGTTTTCTGACGAGTTCCTCGACGGGACACATCGGGCAGCGGCCAAGAGCCAAGCAAGCGACCGTTAGTTTTTCTTCAGGAGTCGTGACTGGAGTGAACTGTTAACGAAAGCAAAAGGCTCGTGTGGAATTATATTAAGCTGACGAGCGAGGCGACGGTGACGGTCGAATCGATCTAAACGCAGTGTGGATATCTGTTTGACTAGCCAGGATTAGTTTCCTCTCTCTATTGGCCGTTTCCATGTAATATGATGATGTGCCCTGTTCCACTTGGATCAAGGATCCCACACCAAAATTTTACACCCTCTCACATCGAACGTTTGAACACATGTATGAAGTAGTATATGAGGTATTAAATATACGCTAAAAAATAACTAATTGCATACATTGCGACTAATTTGCAAGACGAATCTTTGAAGTCTAATTACTCCATGATTTGACAATGTGGTGCTACAATAAACATTTACTAATGATGGATTAATTAGACTTAATAAATTCAACTCGTGGTTTATTAACGGATGACTTAATAAATTCAACTCGTGGTTTATTAACGGATTATGTAATTAGTTTTTTTTATTAGTGCCTGAACACCCATACGATACCATATATAATATCCGATGTGACACGGCGAGACTTTATATCCTCTAAAGACAGCCTAACTTTTTCCCCAGCTGGATTCTCCGTCTCCGCGGTGCCGCGTGCCGATCGCTCGGCCTAGGAGAAAAAGAGGCGACAAGGACGGGAGGGGAGACGCGAGACGAGAGACCCACCACGCGCCGCGCGAAATGTGGGTGCTCCGTATATCCGAGTCCTTGTCAAGTCGTGGTCAATGCGGCAAAGCAGCCAAAGCAGCATGCATGTTTCTCCGCAATTGGAACGCGCCCGGGGGAGCAGCGTTCGTTCGATCGATTCGAGACCACCGGAGAAAACCCCCACATGCGCGCGCGCGGCGCGGTGTATGGTATCTGTGCAGGAGCAAACGCCGCGAAAGGCCGGCGCAACTGCTGCGCGATGATGCGTGCGGTGCGGTGCGGTGGCGGTTGGCAACCCGTGGAATGTCGAGGAAATCCCGCTCGGTTGCGCGCGCGCGTGCGTGCTCCATCTGGAAAACGCGCCGACCGCCGTTGGTTCGCGGTCGCGGTCGGTCTTTCACGGCCACAGCGCAGCTAGCTCGTGCTACCAGCATGTGTGAGCTCTAAATGGGAATTGGGTGTTGTGTTTGAACGTCGCGGGGAGAAAGAGACGTTCTGGTGGCGAATAGATGGGGCTAGCGGTAGACCGGTAGTGGTATGGTAGATGGTTGTGTAAGTTGAACCAAAATCCTACTCCCTCTGTTTCATTACATCTCCTCCGTTTCACATGATGTAAGTCATTCTAGCATTTTCTTAAAAAAAGTTATTCTAGTATTTCCCATATTTATATTGATGTTAATGAATATATATAGATATATGTGTATAGATATAGGAAATGATAGAATGACTTATATTGTGAAACGGATGGAGTACTAGAAAAATCGTGCTGACATTTCAATCGAAAATTTGAATTAGTACTAGGCCGGAAGAGAAGATCGAAGAATGAATTGAATCGAACTTTCTCAAACGTCGAGGATGGGCTACGGACTTGAACGGTTGAACAGTTCGTTCCATCGTTCACTAGGAATTCACCCTTCAACAAGTTAGCTCTTCCAGACCAGAACTTTAACTGGGGCTGGACTTTATTTTCTACATTTTAGCCTTTTAAAACTTCCTTTAAAAAATATATCTTTTTCTTGATGCCAATGACAACCCTCACCCTTAGCAGCCGAGATGTGGAGGGGTTGGTGCCCAAGAAACCGACACCGACAACCTATTTGTAATAAAAAAATTACATTTGACCCTTTTTATATATTTTTTTTAAAAATAGGTTATTGGTACCATTAGCATCGATATCCTACGTATCAGTGACTTAGCTACCACTGCACAGGGGGCTACAGTATGTGCCAGTGTTATTGGTGGCGAGGGACTAGGGTATATACCAGTGTTATTGGCGGGCGAGATGTTGAACCTCGGTACTCCGATAAAAAGAGCCATACTAGAATAATATTTTCAACGGTCAAATTATAAAAGACTAAATTGTCATAAACATATAGATTTAATATGATGTATCACAAAACTATATGTTTTATAGTACTCATTAAGCCTCTAGTGGTGGTGGCAGTAAACCTACCCCCCCCCCCAAACTACCTTTTATAATTTATTTAGAATAGCTCTTATATTTCTGATATTATGGAATAGTCAACATTTGTTTCAAATAAATGAATACCATATATTCGAATAAATATATAAGTTATACTACCATATTTGATAAAATTAATATATTTCATCTATAATATATTACAATATATTTCCTTCTATACGCAACGAAACACAACTATTTTGCTACTCTCTTCGTTTCATATTATAAGTTGTTTGATTAAGTTTATAGAAAAAATTAGCAACATCTAAAATATCAAATTAGTTTCATTAAATCTAACATTGAATATATTTTAATAATATGTTTGTTGTGATTTAAAAATACTACTATTATAAACTTGATTAAAAATAAAAAAAAATCAAACGATTTATAATATGAAATTTATTACTCATCAAAGTCCGGATAGCACGCGGAGCCGCGCACGCCATAGTAGTAGGCTAGTGGCAGTCCAGCTGCAGGCCGCAGCCAGCCTCATACCCAGCCATGGCCGCGGGCCACGCAGTTGGGCCACACCAATGCCAATGCTCAAGGCCCGCCTAATCTCCATCCCCGCTAGGCCGCGTACTCCCCAGTGCCCCACGCTCCACCAGGCCACCGCCACAGTGCTCACTCCCATATCTCCATCAGTCCAGTCCAGTTCGGCTCGCTGCCCTACATGGGCTTACGGTTAAGCCCTCGGGGGTCTCCCCGCCGCCCTGCCGAGCTAGGTATGCCCGCACCCGCACCGCACGGCGCTGGGCTGCTTGGGCAGGTAGGCCCATCTCTGAGTCGTTGATTCACAGGCTGGACCTTCTAATGGACCACAAAATCGCCTAGGGCGAGTCACCCTCCAGAAGGCCCATGGACGTCATGTGAGCATCACGCTTGCGTGCGCGCTTTGGACCGAGATGCATGGCCGGATTCTTCACTCGTTTTTGCGTGTCAATCTAGCAAACTGACCCTGTCACCCCAGGGGGCCCAATATAGTACTACTAGTTCTTTTTCTCATCAGATGATTAGGAAAACAAAAGAAGGTGTTCTCCGTGTCGTGACAGTTTTTTTTAGTCATCGAAATCGGCATCATTTTCAGGATTTTCTTTGAGTAATCTAATCGAGCGGCTGAACTGCCGTATCTGCAAAGCAGTGCAAGCTTACATCACGGGCAAAGATACAAAGAAGATAGTACAAAGGCAAAGTTCGGAAAAGCAACAATTTTGTGAATCTCCGTAGGAAATGGATTGATTCTTGTGAAGTTAATCAGAATTCATCCAATGTTTGTATTGATCTGCCTATGTACTGTATCATCCAGTTTAGTTATATCACATCAAATGTCTTAATAATGCCATTATGTTTTCACACTGTCGCCTTTTCTTATCAAACAGGCCCATTGTCATACGGTGACAGGCCAAATTGCCCCCGTTACATACCTAACCATTGCTTTCTCGTCTTCCTTTAGGCTACGATGCTGTCAAGTGGAGGTATATATTGAGACCGGACATAAATACTAGTTTTCTTTTCATGATGGTATATATCCCTCTACTAGAAAACATCCACATGTTGTTTTCACCTAAGTGCTTGCAAATGACGTTATCCAATGGTTGAATCGTTCTAGCCGGAAACTTCCTTCGCTAGTGACAAAAACAGTAAAATGTATATATCAGCAAAATTTGTACTACTTGTATACCCACTCAACGTCTCAACCAATGAACTTTCAGAGATTCTCATGAGGGAGGTGCCATCTAATCGTAATCAAACGTATGCATAAATAAAGGTAATCATACATCAAGGTGAAAAAAAATGTATACAAATGTGTCATCGTGAGACCTGAAAATGTAAAAAAAAAAAGGAAAAGAAATAATCTCTGAACCTCTACGTAGTCTACAGAAGCAGTAACAAAAAATGGAAGATACACAGCTAGCAGAAGACAAATACACACACACATCGCAGCAAAACTACACACCCGTAGGCCGTAGCGCAAGGCACACGTCGATCAGATGCTGATCAAACTACGCGCGCCCGTTGCCGTTGGTGGCGCCGTACGGCGACGACGACTTGTCGCTCTTCTTCCGCCGGAGGACGATGACCCAGGTGATGGCCTCGAGCAGGAGCGCGACGCCGGCGAGCGTGGCGAGGATGGCAATGTAGCTCCTCTTCCAGCCGCTGGCCGGCTTGAGGATGTCGAGGCCCTTGAAGATGTTGACGGCGGCGAGGACGATGGCGGAGTAGCCGACGGAGTGGTGGTAGATGTTCCAGTAGAACCTGTACTTGTTCTTCTTGTCGGGCCTCAGCAGCAGCGCGAACACCTGGAGCGTGGCGAGGCAGAAGATGGCGATGCCGATGTTGCGGTGGGCGCTGTAGGTGATGCCCTTGGACTCGCTGCCGAGCTTGAGGCCGAGGGCCCAGCCGGCGACGCCGAGGATGTAGCCGGAGAGCTGGCAGGTGATGTGGAGGTAGAACCATGCCGGGTCGGCGGCCTCGAACACGCGGAGGTAGCGCGCGATCATGGCGCCCATCGGGATCAGGATGCCCCAGCTCACCGCGTTCAGGATGCCATGGATCTGTACGTACGACCATGCGTTGATTAGTTTGGTGCAGATTAAGGATAATCTCGAATCAAATTAAACCAAACAAGTAGTTGTTTCGTGATCAACTATGAAAAAGAAAATTGTGTGTACTGGTTGAGCAACTTGAGCAACTGCATGTCACAAAAGTTGGGACAGTTGCAGGCTTGGTTGCTTCTCGGAGTTGAATTTTGACCCTTCATTTTTTTTTTCTAGAAACAGATGAGCAGAAGGGATAACGTCTCCTAATCCCATCTCTATCCGGTTGTTGAACTAACCACATCGTGTTATTAAAAGTTAGCCGCCAAAATTGCCTATCTATTTGGTTAGGTTATGTATATCATCATGTCAATTGATCAATCCAACAGGATTAATTCTCAATCCTCCAGTCATCCTCAACTCAACTGGAATGGAATATCTGATCAAAACAATTCGGCGATCCTAAAATGAAAATCTTTAAAAGGATGACACCGATGACTGACCTCTAGTTGATTACCTATCGTTAGTTGGTGACATGCCTAACGTCTAAAATAAACTCGAGAAGCAACATCCTCTAATTGAAAAAGTTCACTGAATCGATCAACAAGGAGGAGGAGAAGAACTTACGTTACGGCGGTGCAGCCTGGAGTTGGAGGCGGTACCGGTGCTCTGGCCGGAGCTGAAGTCGAGCCTCAGCATGCTCTGCACGTTGGGGCCGGACGTCGCGTGCTGGCCGACGTTCCCGGTGCTCCCTGGCCCGGCCTGCCACACGGTGTTCTGCGTCGTGGAGTTGTTGGGCAGCGCGATGGTGGCGAAGATGGTGTACACGCCGTTGGTGTAGTCGGCGGTGGGCGGGGACAGCACGTCGAAGCTGAGGCTGCCGTTGGTCAGGCTCGGGCTGGTGTTCTCCAGCACGGTCATGAGGACGGACACGGAGCCGCTGCCGTCCTGCGAGGCGATGAACACGCTGCTGCCGGGCATGGTGGTGCCGCGGGTGTTGATCCCCCAGGCGACCCAGCCGCTGCTCTGCTGCGGGGCGCGGAACGCGACGTCCGCCGTGCCGTTCTCGGCGTGGTGCGTCCAGTGCAGGCTGGCGCCGAGCACCGGCAGCGGGTTGCACTTCAGGAACGTCTGCCCGTTCTGGAACGTCGCGGACAGGCACTGCTGCTGCCCCGCCGCGCTCGCCGCGAGCTGCAGCAGCAGCACGCCGGCGAGGAGTTGCCACGCCATGGTAGAAAAGTCCTTTGGGCTTTTGGTTTGCTTCTCCCCGTGAGCTCTCTCAGCCTCTGGACTCGAGGTGCAATGTGCAGTAGGAGAGGCGTGAAGCTGCTGCTGCTGGTGAGAGGATTTGGGAAAGGGAGAGGCTTATATGCAAGCTCCTCGCGCGGTTGTTGGGGGAGTAGGCGTGTGGCTCGAAGCTTCACAGTTGATAACTTGACATGGTCATCAGCACTATACATGTCATGTTGGGAGTTAGCAGCCTTCAACTAGTACCTTATTAGGTGCCTGAATAATCGAGGTGGTATAATTCATTCAGACATGTGCCCGTTAAAACTTCTAGGGAAACTTAAATTATGGCCTTTACATTAAAAAAACTAAAATTATTTTCTTAAAAAAACTTAAATTATGGTTCAGACTCTACAAGAAACGTCCAGAAGTCTTTCGACTAGCTTCACAAGGTGGTGGGCTAGACAACCTGGGTTCGAAAGCTCTTTTAATTATTTGATATTAGATCATTCTCTAATATTCACGTCTTTTTTATGGTTCAGTCTGTACACCGGACCGTATGCCGTGAAGTGCAGGCATTATTTTTGTTTAGATTATGCATAGGAGGCATATTCTGAAGGTTCTTGTTTATTTCAACGGATTGAAGTCACCTACTACGTTCTCCTATTTGTTTCAGTAAAAAGATTGTTTCAGCGAATGGACATTGCAGAGTATGCCTATGCCATTAAACTGTCACAATTGTTTTACAATTGGCACTATCTCCAGATCGGCTGCACGTAGTCATACTCATACGCCTCAATGCCTGCACCACAACGGCAGAGGTCGGATGGATGCAGACCTTTTCCACGTTTAGTGGGTTGCCTGGAGGAGAGTAGTTGAAGCTGGCGAGGCAGAAACCAATAGAAAAACTGCAAGAGGATTAGGTGAAAGAGCAAGTTCAGGACTGTACCCCCCCGTGTTTCTGCTCGGACAGCTCGGTCAAACCGTTTGCTTCTGCTACCTTTCGTCCTCGTCCCGCCATCCTTTTCTTTTGCCTCAGGCAATTGCGCATGTGTTCTTTTCAATTTTCTGATGTTAGCATGCCCTTGACAGACTGACAGTTCGTTTTTTAATATATATATCTAAAGCTGGCACTGTACTAAATATAAGCTCCTAAAAATCTCAACCTTTGTAATTTCTTTACACAATGATGCTGAATTTCATATCGATGCGATGTCATAAACGCATAGGAGTAGATTAGCCTGTAAGCAGAGGATTAGCAGATTTTTTCCCCACGTGCATCCGACAGGCCGGCTAGCGTCGTCGACAGAGTCGTCTCCCGGATCTACGTAGAATGAACACACGGGATGAGTTGTTGGAGGCTGCAATATTTCTTGGTCTTGCGGCAGGCTGAAGTGCTGAAGGCGCGTGCCATATGGACGCCAAACACGCGTTTCTCTGAAAACGCATGACCGGGCCTTATTTACAACCTGATCAGACTCCAGGATTATCGACATGTTCGTCACGTAGACTAGTCTTTACTCTTTGCCTTCCGTTTTTGTGTCCAGTTTTCCAATGCAATCTGGTGCGATGTCTGTACGTATCTGATATTTCTACGAATATCTGTTGGCTTCTGCAGCTACTTTGACACCGTGTACTGACAGTATAAGCAGACGACCGTACGCAAGTAGGAGCTGAACTGTTTGTGGCTTTGCTTTGGTTCTGTGACGAAGCAAAGTGACTTGGTCGTTCATTTCAGCTCTAGCTTTTACTAGTTTACTCCGTGAACGCTCCCGTTTTAGCTGTTATTGGCATAGTTGGCTACTGGCAAGATGAACGCTCCCGTGTATGTATACAGATGAATTTGACTATCAAGAATGGACCAAAAGGATTCAGAGTTAGGTTCACAATTCTGACGAAAACCAGTCGAATTCCGTGAAATTTTAGGTTTCGAAAGTACAAGCTGTCTGAGATTTCGATGAGTTTCATCCAAATTCAAATTTAAATTGATAAAAAAGAAAAAAAAATAAAATCTTATAAATAGTATGATATTCATATAACTTATTGGGATAGAAATTTTCGGAAAAATTGATGTACTCCTTGTATTTACTGAAATTTACCGTAGTAAAGAAAAGAATAACGAACTTAAAAAAAGAAAAAAAATAGTTCACCTCGAAATTTAAATGATTTTGCTCGGAATTTCGCTAAAGACGACCTGTTTTCGCGAGCTTATCGGTAAACTTAGGGAATTTATATTCAAATTTTGGTTTATGAAATTTGTTCGGAATCTGCCGGCTTTTCACCGGATTTCGCGAAAACCGTCATTCCGGCAAAGCCCGAAACGGAAGGCCTATCTCGAAATAGTAGACGAGTATACTGCATTGAATATTTGAATTTTGAAGGGCCAGAGAACTAGCAACCGCGGCGAGGACAAACCTGAAGACTTCTAGACGCTAGTCGCTTTCATTTCTACTGGATTAATTAAATATAAAATCCATGCAGTTGGTCAGGATTGCGATTGCACATACTCATACCGAACCGATGTCCCAACCGAACTTCTCACATTGAAATCTCTATGCGAAAACGAGATGAACAATCATAGCACCTCACAAACAGGCAGTACCGCAGTACATTTGTACTACTCAAAAGGAAGTACACGATGTACTACTTCAGGTTCATGATGTACAACGTAGTGTGTCAAGTTGGGGTTTCTGGTTCTTTTCTGCCACGATAGAGCTGTCCTTATGCATTGCCTTCCTTATGTTAGAGATCAGTCTCTTTCTGCTGTTTGGTAATATTAGCTAGAAGAAAACGAATACAGATATTGCTTCCAAGATCGAGAAAGAAAAGTAAACGGGTAAATCTCCTCGCTGAGTCGTCTCCTATTTTGGAGATAACTGAATATCGAATAACGCAATCGATGCGATCGCTTACTATTGGAAGAATTTCTGACGACATGTTCAACACTGGACAAAAGCTGGAATATGACCAAAGGAACAAAAATGATGGTTGCTAGCATTTCCATCAAAGAGGAGCTTTATATTATCACTGAAAATTCAGAACCTGGAAAAGTACAATTCATGGGGAAAAAAGTTGGAGAAAAGGCGCTGAAATGGGCAGTAATATCCAAAGTTACCTATCAAATACTTTTCTTTGCATATACTCCCTCCGTCCTAAAAAAAGACAAACCCTAATTTCCGTGTCTAACGTTTGACCGTCCGTCTTATTTGAAAAAATTATGAAAAAAAATTAAAAAGATAAGTTACGCATAAAGTATTAATTATGTTTTATCATCTAACAATAATAAAAATACTAATTATAAAAAAATCTCATATAAGACGGACAGTCAAATGTTGGTACGGAAATCTAGAGTTTGACTTTTTTTAGATGGAGGAAGTATAGTAGAACTTTTAATAAGCAGTAGTGCAGTACTACTACTGTCCTTGGAGAGTTCGTGTTTCTTGTCCTTTTGCTTTATCAAGGTTCATATTAACCGTAGGTATGTTTAGCTCAAATGTTGATATGTTTCGTCAACTTACTTCAGCAATCATTTTGAGAACATCCTGCTATTTGGAGTTAGAGGTTCACTTGTGCTTGTACTAAAATATCTTAACTTGCTCAGATTGTTGAGGTTGTAGGTTTTCCGTTTTTCGGTTGTATGTTTTTCTCTTTGTTGAGTTATGAGTGTAAGGTGGTGTTTGGATCGAGAGACTTAACTTTAGTCTCTGTATTTAGACACTAATTTAAAATATTAAATATAGACTACCTACAAAACTAATTATATAAATGAAAGCTAATTTGCGAGACAAATTTTTTAAGTCTAATTAATCCATAAGTAGAGAATGTTTACTGTAGCATCAGATAGGCTAATCATGTATTAATTAGGCTCAATAGATTTATCTCGCGAATTAGTCCAAGATTATATATGGGTTTTATTAATAGTCTACGTTTAATATTTATAATTATTATCCAAACATATGATGTGATAGGGACTTAAAAGTTTTAGTTCCATCTAAACATGGTCTAAGTGCTCTTGTATTCTGTTGGCTGTGTATATCCCTCGTGGATATAGAGGCCGGATTAATAAAAATGGGGCCGCCTACGGCTCGGGCGCCCGACGATTTGTAGAAAAATCTCAGCGCCCGATTTACGTGCAAAAACTACTTTAAACCGATTTTTCTCTTAAATTACTTATCCAAATCATGATTCGATTGCACCATTAAATTCGTTGCAATTAAATCTTGAAAACAAGACCCACATGGATATATTCCGACGACAATTTTTTTAGCTTATTATTGAATTATTTTTAAATATTGCACGATGTTCCACCAGGTATATCGGAATTGTTTCACTAAGTAGATCAAAAATGTTTCACTCGTTTAAATTGGGTGTTGTTTCACCTTATGTAGAAACAACGTTTTAGCAAATAGTGAAAGATTGTTTCAGTTCACTGCAACATTTGATCCATACATAGTGAACTATTATAAATGCACTAGGTAAAATATTTTTTTGATGGAATAAAAAATAAAACGAATTCCCTTAATAGGGGGTTTCCAAAATATGTGGGTTTTTTTTTTGCAATGGAATATTTCAGTTTACTGCAACATTAGATCTATACATAGTGAAACATTGTGAGTACACTAGGTAAAACATTTTTTGTGGAACAGAAAATAAACCAAATTCCCTTAATAGAGGGTTTTAAAAATATGTGGTTGATTTGTTACAGGTGGGGACAGGTATTGTGGTGGGGCCAGCGATATCAGCGTGCGCGCGGGGGCGGGGGCGGGGGCGGGGTGAGCGACCGATTTTTCCTCCCCCCGCCCGGTCGCCCGACAGCCATCATTATCCAATAAAAATCCAATTGTCTAAAAAAACAGACCAATCCCTAACAAGTGTAGTCGATGACATCAATCTTTCAAACCGGAAAAGTTGGCGCGCGCGCTTTTTCCTAAGAGTTAACGTACCTAACTGAGTTAGTTTAGGATAATGACGGTAATTAAGAAAAGATTTTTTTCCATAACAGATTGAAAAAAAATTATATGTGAAACTTTCAACTCAAATTTTGAAAATTTTGTACTCAAAATTTAATTTTGTAAGACAAATTTTGAAAACTTTCAACTCAGATTTAAAAACTTTCGACTCAGATTTGAAAACTTTCGACTTGAAATTTGAAAACTTACAACTCTAGATTTGAAACTTTCTTCAGATTGGAAAACTTTCAAGTTAAGATTTGAAAACTTTCGACTCAAATATTTCGAAAACATGTGTGCTAACGATTAAAAATATTGGAAAAAAACATGAAAAAAAGGAAAATTCTTGAGTGGAGGGGGAGCGAAAAAAAAAGAAGAAGCAAAAAGATGGGAAAAAAGAAAAAGAAAAAAATGGCAAAAAAAAGAGAGAAAGAAAACGACAAAACGAGTGAGGAGCGCCGACTGGCGTGCGGCAGTTCCGTTTCTGGCACATGCGCGTCAAATAACAACTCCGCTTTCGAACATCCTTAAAAGTGGATATGGATATGAAAGGAATGACTTCCATATCAATGGTATTAAGGAGGACCGGAGGAATTGAGTCTCGAATCCAGATTAACTAGACCTCTAACCCACTAACTAGCCTACTAACTTATGATACTAGCTAGTAAGATATTGGATCCTTCTCAATCTTGTCACAACAAAAATATAATGCAAGAAGGAGATGCACTTTTATTGGAGTGGTAAGGAGTGTGGTTTCATTCTCAAGGTTTCGTGTTCAATTCTTAATACACTCACATTTTCTTCCAATTATTTGATAACCAAAACCCTCCTTATTTGTCCTAATCCTTTTTTTATAATACAAGTAGAAGTGGTTCGTATCAGCACTAATAATTTTCTTTACGTGCAAATGGTAGTTCACATCTTTCAGACTATTATCCATTTCGGTCTTTGTGTTCAGTCTTACTAAGCGACCGCGGATAAACGAAGGTGCGAAGTAGGAACGCAAAATATTAATTTACAAAATACATAATGATAGTTATCACGAACTGGTCGTTGAATTTTGACTTAGTACATGCTGATCAAATTAGGAACATGTGGTACAAAGGCTGATTAATCCAAATACCGAATACTCAAATACTAGAACAATAGAAAATGCTCAACATTTCTGTGACAAAAAGAAAAAAATACTGTATCTTACGTGAAAGTTGGTGTAGCAGATATATTGACCGGTAGTTAGGTCTCCAACAAGTAGCTCGTTGGTCCATAACTGCTATATATGCTGAATGATCCAAGTTCTTGTAGTACGTAGTTCTTTCCCTCAGATATTAAAAATTCTAATACTCCACAATCTTGTACTAGTTTTATGCGTTAAATTAATTGCCGCGACCGAACTTTTGAATGATGAGAATCATAGGACAGCACGCATTCGTTGCTTCCAGGCTCTAGCCGCCCTGATGCTGGGTCCTGTCCATTATTAATCTTGTGAAACTCTGAACAAACATGTCGAGTGTTGCTTTCGGTTCAGACATGGAAAATTATTTTGTCAACTGGTGTGTGCGTATTCCTCTTCTGTTGTTTGATTGTAGTAGCTGCCCTCGACAGCTTCCGTTCGCTTCGTCCTGGTTAGTATCGTAATTATAAAGAGTTGGTTCACCTGCTCTAATCGAATTAGCTCAGCTAAGCTATAGAGCTGTGCACATTCAGATCCTAGAAACACCGGACAGGTTCCACTGCCGTCTGCCGGGCCGCACTTTTCATTTGGATGACAGGTGACCGTGCACACTTTGATCAACGCCTTTCAAGTTTCAACACCTGACACCTTGCAACATGTCCCTGGCCAGGTATTTTGTCCACGATGACTGCATTTGATTTAACACTTCCCTAGATGATTTCCTGCCACACGTCATGCAAAGACATGCTTGGCGATGTTGCAGTCCGTTGATCTGGCTGTAGCAGTTACTATCTCCGTCCCAAAATAAGTGCAACCATAAGTTTTCGCGTCCAATTTTGATCGTTTGTCTTATTCGAAATTTTTTTATAATTAGCATTTTTGTTGATATAAGATGATAAAACATAAATAGTACTTTACTCATGACTTATGTTTTTAATTTTTTTAAAAAGAAAATTTAAATAAGATGAATGGTTAAAGTTAGGCGCAGAACTTATTTTGGAACAGAGGGAGTACAAGAGGTCAGATCGAAACGTGCCAGGGAGTAACATCCGTACACGCCGTAGCAACTGAAGTCGCTCTCTGCCCCTTGGCGGATGAACAGATCTGGTCGAATGAGGAACAGCCTGCATATCGGATATCGCGCGGCGGATCTAGATGACACACACGAAGTCGTTTGCCTTGGGATGGAAGAGCATCTCTAACAGTGCGGCTATTTTTGACTCTCCAAATATCTAATTGACCAGTCTAACAAAAATTTAGAGAGTGAAATTTATCTTCTATTTCAACAGACTCTTTACATCCCACTCTCTATTAACCAATGGACCCCACCTGTTATTCTTCTCTTTCTTCTTCCTCCCCCTTTCTCCCATCCTCTGCTCGTTCTTCTGCAGAGCTCGTGCCAGCGGCGGCGGGCGACGGCGTGGCCGCGGCCGGCGGCGGGGCTCGCGGACGACGGCGGAGGTCGCGGTCAGCGACGACACGGATGGCGGCGACGGTCATGGCGGGTGATGGCGTGGACTACGGTAGCTTAGGCCGTGGCCGGCGATGGCGCGGACGTCGGCGGAGGCCGCGGACGACCGTGCGGTCGCGTGCAACAATGAGAGAGAATAGCCGGATGTTAATGTGCGTGGGGCCCACAGTTGGCCAGTCATTTTGGCTGGCCAAATTTGGCTAGTGGAGGTGGAGGGAGGGTTTTGGCCAGTCAGATGGCTTAGCTATCTGGTTGGAGAGGCTGTTAAAGGATGTTTTTTCACTAGAATGGCTAAAATTTGGCTTGGAGAGTTATTTAGAGAGGCTGTTGGAGATGCTCTAAGACAGGTACCTCTGAATTGATTCTCTGATTCACACCTATCGTCCTTGATCCGGAAACGAAATGATGCCATTGATCACACGGATAAGCAACGGCGTTGGCGCTGTCAATGTGATAGTGTGATTATGTCAAAAGGGTTAATTACTCCTAGGAGTAGTTAGCACTATGCACCAAGCAGGCGGCGCGAGCCAGAGTGGCCATTCCGTAAGTGAGGGTGTTTTTTTTTTTTGCTGACCTGGCTTGTTGGCCTAGTCTGACGTGGCTCATTGAATCAGGGAATCAGTGTGGACTTATTCCTTCGCGTTGAGGCTGTAGGCCCACGAAAACCTGAACAAACAGGATCGCTACCATAGCGGGCCCCATATGGACCGTCCATGCTAGGGCCTGAAGTTTACTAGGCCTGTTCCTTCATTCCAGAGCCCAGATAATACGGCCCACCACATACTCCCCCACGCAGCCTGAAGCCCTGAATCAGATGCACGCCGGCAGCGGAGGGGTTAAACGGTCAAGTACGAGGACAACACCGGCGCGATGGATGAAGACGCCGCCACCGAAGTGGATGTTGAACAATCCAAAGGTGTTAAATCCTTGCCAAATTCAATCAAGCCATTTCTCCGATTGTGCTCGCCGTGTACAAAGAGAAACTGTTCCATTCCAGAATTCAGGTTTACAGTGAAAACAAGACACACTGCCACTGAGCCACTGACATATCTTATGTGATTACAGCATCTGAAAATTACGCAATCACGGCATCCTGGAGTTGGAGGCTCCGGCGCTCTTCCCGGACAAGAAATCAAGCCTCTGCATGCTCCGCAAGTTCTGCCCCGACGTCGGGTGCGACGCAATCGCCCCGGTGCTGCCCGGCCCGGCCTGCCACACCGTGTTCTGCGTCGTGGAGTTCATCGGCAGCGCCACCGTCACGTAGATCGTGTACGCGCCGCCGCCGCCATACTCCGATAATTACTTCGCATCTGATCTTTTTTGCAGGCTTCATGAAGTGCGCGCTGTAATTGTCGGATAATTTAACATGATCAACTAGGTTGCCTTGTAATTGTCGGATAATTTGTTTCTACTGCCGTGTCTTACATTTCATTTCGGAGGCAGACGTCGATTGCTACGTAATTACGGACTTGTTCCAACATTCCCTGAAAAACCACAAGGAGCGGTGACTTCGTCCCGACCATCGACCACGGACACGTATTAATTTCTCCTTAGAAAAGTGCGCGTTGACCTAACTCCAGATGGTAATATATGTTCCCCTATTGTCACACTTGATTTTTATGCAGTGTATGTGTCGGTGTCAATATGTCATGGGCTCATGGCAGGCATGTCATTGGCAAGGCTGCGAACATTTACGTTACACACCCATAATCGCATTGGAAATTTGGAATTACTTATCCGGATGCATTGATATTACAAATTATCACGGGTTAATCCTACATATTCGGTTCGAACCAAAAAGCGTTCACGGAATCATGGGTTCTATGTAACCATGGAACGCTGGACAGTACTGACGTTTTTCTATCGAGTAGCATACAGCAACCGTAGCAACACCATCAGCTTCAATGAATCTTGGGAATTATATCCTGTTACCGCGAAAGCATCTCCTCTGTCCATGAACAGAGCACAGCGTCAGCCAATCCTTCTTCCAGCTCCGACCACGCCATCCGCGACCTGATCAAGACTGAAGATGCGCATAGGCCCCTCGACGAGTTCGGTGAAAATGGCGACGAGCTGGCCTGTCCACTCCACTGTTCTATGTCCGTCTCATCGCAAGAACACTTGATGTCATCTTGCTCGGGTTGAACACCCCGTATCGGCTAAAAACAGAATCGTGCGTAGTTGGAGCTCCACCGATCGTCTGTCTACACGTTACAAACCTTTTACCATCGAACAAAGTAGCAAGATTCTTCCTCCATTTCACAATGTAAGTCATTCTAACATTTCTCACATTTATATATGTCTAGATTCATTAACAGCAATATAAATGTGAGAAATGCTAGAATGACTTACATTGTGAAATGGAGCGAGTATCTGCCAAAACTTGCTAGTAATTCCTCAACACATTGCACTTTTATTTAGTATAAAAACCGATAGCAAACAACATCAGAAACATATGCTGTATGGTATGGCAATGATAATAATAATGCTTATTCCTAAGCCTACTACGCATCAAGACGTGAAGTCGTGCTTCTTGGTGCTCCTCAGGTTCGCCCCCGTCGTCGGGTGCATCGCTATGGCCCCTCCCCTGACCGGCCCGGCCTGCCACACCATGTTCTGCGTCGTCGAGTTCCCCGGCAGCGCCACCGTCGCGTAGATGGTGTACGCGCCGGCCGAGTACTCGGCGGCGGGCGGCGCCGGCACGTCGAACCTGAGGGTCCCGTTCCTCAGGCTGGGGCTGAAGCTCTCCAGCACCGTCGTGACGACGGACACGCCGCCGGCGCCGGCGCCGGTGGCGTTGATCTGCGAGGCGATGAACACGCTGCTGCCGACCATGCCGGCGCCCTGGGTGTTGATGCCCCACGCCACCCACCCGCCGCTGCTACTCTGCGGCGCGCGGAACGCGACGTCCGCGGTGCCGTTCGCCGGGTGGTACGTCCAGTGCAGGCTGGCGCCGAGCACCGGCAGGGTGTCGCACCGCCGGTACGTCCGGCCCGCCTGGAACGTCGCGTTCGCGCAGTCCGGCTGCGCCGCCGCCGCGTACAGTAGCACGGCCGCCGCGAGGAGCCACGCCGAGCGTCCTAGCCGCGCCATGGTGGTGGACGAGTAGCTAGCACGCGGTAGGGAGGCGAAGGCGCGAAGGAGTGAGGCTGGCGAGAGGGGCGAGGCGGAGTATTTGTACCGGCGAGGTGAAGCTCAGCTGTTGCCTGTTGGGTTCGGAGGTTGGAAACCCGCGCGTGTGGGGTGCAAGATTCAGGTTTTGGAGTTGAATTCCGCGAAGAAATTCAGAACAGTAAACCGAACTGGTCGCACCTTTTACATTTCGAAGACGAGCTTTGCAGAGATCAGCATCGGTGCACCGTGCACCCCGCGGCCTAAAGCTCTGTATTTTCGCAGCTAACTGGTCTCGGCGTTTGACATTCGCTCGGTGATGCGTTCTGCTGCTGCCATCCATCCAGTGAGATCCACGATCTGTGTGTCACATGATGTCTACACGTGCGTCGATTTCGTGGGTAGCGGTCTGCGCCAACAACCCTGATGAAGGCGTGACGCGTGCCTGCACGGCCGTACACGCCGTAGCATGCCGCCCGTCGAACTGCGGTCAGTCGCGTCGCATTCATTCATCCTCTTCTCTTTTTTCACAGGCCGCGTGATTTTTTTTTCCCAAAAAGCAAACCACATGTTTTTCAACCGCGGGTGTCACGGTGTGTGCCGACTTGCCGTGATGAGGAGGCTGCCGTCACAGGCCGTCGCCTTCGGTAGTTTTTAATACTTGTTTTTATTCACACAAAGTCAATACACACAGGGGATTGGGGATGCAATCCAGAGCTCATCCTGACGTGAAACGAGTTTTCTCGCCTCGGTCTGAAGCTGAGTGGCGGAGGTCGCCTTGTTTGCCGGACAAGTACATTGAAAGCGTCGTCCAAGCTTGATCAGCGGCAAATGGCTTATGGTTGGAGTCTTGAAGATGGAAGAGTTGGCCAAGTTACTAAGATAGAGGAGGTGACACCTGAAACCTGGTTGGAGTGAACTTTGTTTGGCTACTAAGGTGCAAGCAGGATATACTATACCAGTACACCAGAAATAACTGATAACATTGCTTCCAGTGATAAATATGAAGAATACCATTGCTTTCAGTGATAACTGATAACGTTCAGCATCCCAGATATGGATAGCAAGATGGAAAGATTACAGAACAGGTGCCACAGAGACGAATTTTTCTTAAATTTTATCTGCCAAACCAATGAAATCTAGTTAAGCCAGCGCTTGCCACAGTGCAGCAAGAAAAACCTGGCGTCATACAGAAAGCAAATCTAGATATGAGACATGTCCCAAAACAAAATTCACTAAGCTATAGCTTTCTTGAGCATCTCCTTCTCCCTATGCTGAAGAGTCTAGTGCTTCGGCTTTAGTACTAAGGGCTGGCAGCATGAAGATAAAGCATCTGATGCATCAAGAAGTGGTGGCAGAGTGAATGGTGGGAGAACGCCACCATTCTGGTGTGAAACGGTCAAAGCACTCCCACCAAGTGTCTGTGCCATTGCAGCCTGCTGTTTGTTGAGCCCCTCCATGATGCATGAGAATGCTGCAAAGGTTGCACAGCTTTGGAGCAAGGCTTGTGGTGTTCCTGGTTTAATATATATAGAAAGATGTATGTAAGCAATTTCACAGTAGTCCAATAATCCTTCGTTATACATATAAAAAAAGAGTAGTCCAATAATGAGCAGACAACAGTGGTTGGTATCGATAATAGATTCTAATTATGAAAGAAATTCAGCAAAGGTCCATGTTTCAAGTATCCTTTAAATGCTAACATCTGCGTTCCACCTAATCTTATTCAAAGGCCAGCCCAACATATGTGCTAGCTAAAGTGTTCCTTGTACACTTCAATACTATACTGAAATGTAACATGAGCACGAATGCCATGACATAACAGATGTGACAGTAAATCAACAGAGCTGTGCAGTTTTCACAACCTTTGATGCATTATGCTTATTAATGTGTTTACCAACCATATCACCAGGTTAACCATTAGCATACGATCTTTCTGGGTGGTGCCTAACTGCCTATCATGCATGATGCATAAGCACAACTAAAAACTGAGGAATCGCATGGTATTGGTATGCTAAAACAGAATGGCACTAAAAGTAGGGTGAACCGTCCCACATAAAGTGTGCCATGTAATGCATGAACAAATGATTTTAACTGGACTGAGAAAGCTGTACAGTAATGATCAATTGATCAGTTCGATTGCCTGCATGACTTCATACCAATGAAATTAAAGCAGCATGTGCCCTTAGCTGTCAAACCCATGAATGATGTGTCTCTTATCATAAAATGGACAAGGACACAAGGCTATCATAATTTTGAAATTTCACACTCATATATTAGGGCCTAGTTGAAGGAATTCTACAGCAATTAGTTCCAGTCTTGTATTTTTAGACAAACTCCATGCCAAAATCATGTCATGACCAGAAGCACACCAGAAATAAATCTAGCGATCAATGGAACAGGCACATGGTTTGCTGACTACAAGCAGCGGTACTAACCACAATGATCATGAAAATTCATTATAATGTAGAATCCATGCATTGCAGTTCACTGCTGAAATGACCCTTTTGTATGAAACCCAGTAAGCAAAAATATCATAAAATTGAGAATGGCATCCAGTATCAAAGTATCATGCAGCACCACATTCTCCCATATAACAGTATACCAAAAATAAAACATGTGTATTGAATGCAAACATACCTGGAAAGCTCAAAGCAAGGCCAGTGCAACAACCAGCTATCCCAGCATTAACAACTGCCAATGGAGCATGACAATTAATGATATGTATTCAGCAACCAAGATGTTCCATCTAAAAAACTACCAAGATGTTAACAAAAAACAGGGAACTAAAACAATGCGCATACTGTCATCTTTGCCGCGCAGCCTTCTCAACAAGCACACAACCAGACTCTGGACGCCAGAGAGAACTGCAAAAGTCTAATCCAACAAATTTCTGTTATGAGCAAGGTGTCTGGAAGATTTCCACGCAAAGGAACTGCATTAACATTATCAATAGCTAACCTTGGCAGAAGACCCTGCGGTGCTGAATGAGCCCTTAAATCCCTTCTTAGTGAACAAACCTTGTCCTGGATAAAGAATCCAGTTAAAACCACAATGATTTTACACGAGGAAAAAAACCTAGGTGCAACAGATGACCTGAACTAATCCATATTGATGGCACTTAACAAAAAGACTAATCGCATCTTCATTAACCTAAACATCCAAATTTAGGCCAAGGAATAAAAAAATCCGCACAAGATGTGCTATTATCAAACGCATTCTAGATGTATTACGAATTCTTACAACCATACACTAAGGATAGGTGTGAAGTGAGCTACGTTTGCACGATATGGGAAAGAAGGGTAGAAGACTGTAAAGTCCATATCCCTCTGTGCCCTAGGAACCAAAAATCAAAAACTAGAAAAAATAATTCGCGATTACCACAATAGAAACAGCGAGAGCAGCGACTGAAACACACGAACGCATAGAGGGACACCGATAAATCGGGGATAATAATACCATATCCGACGATAGATCCGATGAAGGCGCCACCGGCGAAGTCTCCGGCGGAGCGGATGAAGCATACGGCGGGCGCGGCGGCGAGGGGAGGCGGAGACGCGCCCCCGTCGTTGGGGCTGGTTCCCTCGGCGGCGCCGCCGCCGCCGAGCTCGTCGCCGTCCGACTCGCTCCCGCGTTTCGCCGCCATCGCTGCTCACAACACAACCCCCCCCTCTTTCTCTTGCTTTTGCCTCGTTATCGTCTTGCGTTTTGTTTGCGCAGCCCAGGCGTCCCCGTGTTTATACGCGAGCTACAGCTCAGGACAGGGTTTCGGACACTGTCAAGTGGGTCCCACCTGTCAGAACCATCTGGTGGGCCGGGCCAGATATACGAGCCCAACCAAGCAGGCGAGTGAATTTTTTTTATTTATACTTTTTTTTATTAAAATATTTACAAAAATAATTTGTTGTTTCGAAAATTTGCAAATCTAATCGCCTGCCGCCCTTTGGGAGGGCGATTTTTAAAAATCGCCCTTCCACAGGGCGGCAAGGGACCTAAATGTAAATTTTCCAGCATAACTTGTTAGCTCTATAATTTTACAATTTAAAATTATATTATATAAAGTCAGATGAAATAAAACTTTATATCAAAATGGTAGAGCTCAAGGAGATCTACAACTTTGTAGTTAATAACTTTTTCATTTAAGATGTTTTAGATATCCAAATATTCGTTACAAAATATAAAACACATTTTAAAAAATCTCAGATCTACATTTCAAACGACATTGGATGGAGATAAACTTTATATAAAGTTGTAGATCTTGATGAGATCTATAACTTTGTAGTTTATCACTTTTCCATTTAAAATCATTTAGAGTATCGAATAAGCATTATTAGTTTTTAAGCAATTAAAACCGGTGGGAAGGGTTTGAACACAAATAAAAATTTTGTATTTAGGTCCCTTGCCGCCCTTTGAGAGGGCGATTTTTAAATATCGCCCTTCTTAAGGGCGGCAGGCAATTAGATTTGTAAATTTTCGAAACAAAAAATTATTTTTGTAAATATTTTAATAAAAAAATGTATAAATAAAAAAAATTCCAGGCGAGTAACAGTTTTGTTGCTATCTGTAGGCATTTCTGGCTTACAAGTTACTACCAGTACAAGTTACAGATCTCGAATCGAATGCACACAAATTTCTGGCTAACTGAAAAGTGTTCTCGTGCCATGCATGATAACGATGTATATGTATACAGTGTGAGCAATGCATCGCCTTCATAAACTTTCTAGAGATTACTGCAACCTGTTCCACACCTTGTGGTTGAAAATCTCTCTTGAAAAACATCACGGGTAGCTCCCTACATATACAACATCACACCATCAAAAGTTCAAACCGTTCAGCATCACGTTGCAGTCGAGAAGCCTACACAAGTTTATTCTAATCCCAAGCAAATTGTTGGGCAGATAATACAGTAGTCAGTTTAGCATGGAACGCAGTTAGTTTCCTGTTTCCCAGTTGAGGAACACCAATAACTGCTTCGGAAATTTAGTCAGATACTCAGATGTCACCAGTTTCCTATGGTCAGAGGAGAAACCAATGGTAGTGCAGTTGCGGGTGCCTCCAGTGTCACCTGAGAGAAAGACAATGTGTTGTAAGTTCTGTTTTTAGATGACTATAGTATTGACTACCGCTACTGCTATCGTTCCAAATTGTTGCCAATTGCAGGTTATAGAAGTGGTTGTCGATGTCTTATAAAGGATCAAGAACTTCTGAAGAAACAAGAGATATAAAGCTCTTCATGTTACTAACACCAAACTGTTGGTTTACTGGCTGAACACTATTTAACAAAGAATTTGTGGAGGAATTGTAACAATAGCAAACACAATACGTTGAATGCTCCTATATGTTTTTGCCAAGGGACTGAGCCACAAATTCATGCGTACCTCCTTAAACACTGAACTATACGAAGCATCCTTGAAGCCCTGAGTTCAAACCAGACAAATACAATATTGAATTAGCCCACATGAGAAAAAGAGAAAAACACAGGGATGTTCAACAGATAAATTCTCACCAATTTTCTGAACAGCTTTAAGGATGCTGTATTTGATTCGTTAATTTTTGCTCTGAAAGTGTGAATTCCATATTTCTCTACTGCAAATGCCATCATGATTAATATTGCTTCTTGACCAAGTCCCTTTCCGCGGCTGTAACAAAAGGTACTGGAAAGAATGAGTAAAATGGCCGAACACCATCAGTCAATCACTTTCTAACTGCAAACACCATTTTCCCCCCTCTGTTTGAAATATAACATAAACAAATAAGAGTTAAACAACTACTTTCACGTGGTTTCTGATTATTGCATTGCAAAAAGTTATATAACAGATTCACATGATATTCTCCTGAAAACAAAACTTGCTAACTTGACATTATCATCCTTGCAGTCGTCAGCAGTTTAAGCCCTCAATAAAGATATTCAGGCATATGGAACTGAATATGATGCCACCATTTGGACAGTCAAAACTTACAAGTAAAAGAGGTATCTGCGCAACTCCCATGAATGAAAAAGGACTAAATGGAGAACATTTATCTATATACCTCTTGTGTTCAGCAATCATAATCTCTATCTCTGCAAGTTGCAAATCATCAGGATCATTCATATAGATGTTTACATCACCAACCATCGCTGCAATTGATATCACAGAGCATTAAAGCAAGCAAGAGTTGGACAACTGTTGGATATCAAACTAAAAGCATTAACACAACTACAGAATTGAAATGACAAGATGTTTTTAGTAGCACAATCCGAAAACCAAATACAATAGGAGTATGTTTTTAGTAGCACAACAATGAGTTCATTGGAGAGCCACCAAAAGGGCAAAATATGCTGAATCAACTCATCAATGATCATACATACGTACTCACATACCAGAACATGGATATCATAAGTTTTATCCCACATGCTTGGCTAACGGATTTAACATGATAGGGGTAATGGGTCTCGGATTCAAACCATCTAGCTTAACAGTAATGTAACAATCTCCTTCTGCTAATCGATCTCAAATTCAAAATAATTCGATATAATACTTGTTTTCCCAATTCAAGACCACAGTCCACGGAATGAAGTCAAACAAGCTAGTAACATATAACTGTGCTACAAAGCAATGTGGCAATAGAGTAGCGAACCTTCAGTGTGTGGATCGCCAACCGCGAACCCTCCCTCGATCAGGTCCTTGTCCAGCACTATGAACGTATGCTCTGCGAAGTGAACAAAACGGAAGAAAAAAGAAACAAGCAAATCAACCGCAACATCTCAACACACCAAATCGAGGCGAAATAGAAGTGGGAGATGGAGCAGCGAGAGCAAGGAGCCGAACTGAGCGGGTCGAGGGTCCAGGAGCGGTGGACGTCGAACTCCTGGTCGAGGGAGAGGGGCTCCGACGCGGTGGCCTCCAGAAGCGCCGGATCCTTCATCCACCCGTGGTACCGCGGCACGTGCTCCCGCAGGTACGGCACCAGCACCGCCCGCTCCCCCACCGCGTACCAGCTGCGCTTGCTGCCCCCTCCGTCCTCTCCGTCGACGGCCGCCGCCGCCGACGACGACGACTCCATCGAAGGGTTTCCAATTGGGCCCCCGTCCACGGTCACGAAACCGTGGGCTGCGGCCTGCGGCGTGAGTCGTGACGAAGTCCTCTCCTTCTGAGGTGCTGTACGCGATTTTGCTGTAAAAGCGGGTATCAATTTGACGTATTCGGATTTAGTAATTCACTTATACAGCTAATGGCGATTATTTCATGCAGATTGGGTGCCATATTTCAGTTGTGAGAATGGAGATCACATGAATGACTGCACAGTACAGTAACAGTAAGCTATTAAGTTTGTTGCTTCATGTGTTTTGGCAATAGGTGTAATTGGCATGGAGATACGGCATGTTTGCTTTAGAAGAGTGTTATAGATAGGTAAACAAACAAACACAGTCAATTAGAAACGAACCAGTTCAGAGAAGATAACAAACCATTATGTGATGTTGGAGAAGAAGACTGGTATTATTATGTATGTGTCTATGGTTTAATTATTCTGCTGGTCAGCTGGAGTATATTTAGTAGGGATAGATCATCTACCATTACATTGACATACTAATACTTGCTCCCATGTATGTATTATTTTATATTTTCAAATTATTTTTAATTTTGATCATCTGACAAGATTAGAGTATCTAATATTTGTACAAGCATATGAAAATTAAAATAAATTCATTTGGATAATATTTAACCATATTCTAACATTCATAAATTTTCTTAATACATGTAAAAGAAGTAAAAGAAAATTTAGTGCACAAACTACATGGTAGAAATTTCAACAAGTGTGAATTGAACATAGCTCGGTTAGGTTGATCAAATTTGATGAGGTTAAGGTTTTTTAGCTTGGTACTTAGTCCTATCTTCCTAGTATCTAATGTCAGGAGATAGTACATTCACACATGTAAGCATGGGGGATGTTCGACCCAAATTTGTATAAACATGTAACATTTCGGCGTAGGCAATGTGAGTCTGTGTTATGTTATTTAGGAGTAATATGTGCTAGGATACACCCACGTAGGCCGGTGTGGTGTGTACGTGCGTGCTACTTATACGCAGGGGAAAAACTTAAGACTATGCAGAAATGTTTAGGTGATATTTATTTGTGCAATTTTTTTCGTTTCATGCGTATGGAAGGATAATATATTTTCTTGCCTTGAATGCAGCTCACAATACCACTTCAGTTGACCAAGCTTATGATGTAATTAGTCTACTAGGGTCTAACATGGAGTGCTTATAGTTTGATATATAAAATTTCATTATATTGTAAGGTCCACCAGCGTGACACAATGGCACTCCACATTTATATTTCACTCCACACTCTAATTTCAATGGGAAAATATGGTTCTAATCTCCCCTTTCTTACTTATAATCTAAATAGTATCACTACACGAATATACAAATTTAAATTTAGCATCTATAAGTGGCAATAGAAAATAATAAATTAAACTCCAGCTAATAGAGTGTATGTGAATATTCATAGCCATGTTTATTTTGTTTTTCAATTTGTAAAAGTTAAATTTAAACTTAGCTACATTTTTATGCAGTGATATATCACTAATTACTAATCTATCTTTTGTTTTTTTTTGAAAAAAATTATAACCATGCATACGGATAGCATGTACTTTCAATAATTTAAAATCCACTCAAACAAATACATATCACACATTGCATTATCACATCTTGGGTCGCGATTGTTCTCCCGAAAACATGTTCTAATAAGCTAGATAAATAAGTTATACCATCCATCCTAAAATATATATAAAAATTAACCAAATATGATACATGCCCATACTATCGTTTTTTCCCCATCACTCACAAATTCTTGCGGTTATTAGCTTCCTCCTAGCCGTGCCTTGGAAGCCAATTACAAGGACCATCATAATCGTAATCATCACACCAACAACATCGCCACTCACAAAAGGCCCCCAATAAGAAACACTCTAATGCCGAATCGTTCACATCACATCACCACGTTGTGTGAGTGAGTGAGAGGCCTTCTCGAGTGCGGCCACCAAATCTTCCATTCTGCAACCAGTATTATCGGCTAGACCACTCTTAGGATCAGGCCACCTAACCTCACCTAGCAAAAATGTCATGATAATAAGTTAAGTTGCTCAAAAGCACATCAGTACACTGATTGACAGACATTGAGCCTGTAGCTGGAAAGATACGCATGCTGCATCTAAGCTATAGCCAGGCCCCAGCAGGTTCCCTTTGGTACACTCCTTTCAGATTTAATTCAGTTAATCAGGTAATTGAGTATGCAGTAAGCAGTTGATGTGTATCTGTGTTACTGTGTACATAGCTGGAATTTTGTCGCTGTTCAGTGGCTGGCTGGCTGCCTTTTACACCTACGTACAGATCGATCCTACAGTGCCGAGTTCAAGAATAGGCCAGGAGTTGGCACCACACAGAGAATAGCCTTATTGCAGCCTTCTTTTTGGAGCCGTTTCCCTTGCCTTCAAAGCTAAGAAGACATCAAAAATAAAGGCACTAACCAACAAACGCACACTCCACAGCCATCATCGCGCTCGCACCCGCGAAAACGCCCCACTAAAACCCCACTTACGCGCACAAACAAAGCCGAATTAACACTCACGCTAAAACGTTAGCGCGCCCCGTGGTGGCAACACACACAGTCACACGTACGCTAGCTCGATCGTTAGCTGCAGCTTCGCACCACCACTCGTCGACTCGTCGTACGTGCTACGGCGCAGGTCGCTACAATGCGGCAGCAACGCTGCGCCACGCTTCTGGCTTCGCTGCTGCAGCTCGTTGCCGTCGCTGTCCTTCCTGCAGCAGCAGCAGCGGCGGCAGCGGCGGCGGCGGGTGGTGCGGCGGGGAGGTGCACGACGTCGACGCCGTTGAAGACGTACGCCAAGTGCATCGCGCTGCCGACGCAGGGCGCGACGCTGGCGTGGACGTACGACGCGCGCAACGCGACGCTGGACGCGGCGTTCACGGGCTCCTTCATCTCGCCGTCGGGATGGGTGGCCTGGGGCGTCAACAAGGACGCGCCGGCGATGACCGGCGCGCGCGTGCTCGCCGCGTTCTCCGACCCCTCCACGGGCGCGCTCCTCGCGCTCCCGTTCCTCCTCTCCCCCGACGTCAAGCTCCAGGCGTCGCCGCTCGTGTCCCGCCCGCTGGACATCCCGCTGCTCGCCTCCTCGGCCTCCCTCGTCGACCCCGCCCGCACCGTCCGCGACGGCGCGACGGTGACCATCGCCGCCACCATCCGCCTCTCCCCGAACCGCACCAAGCTCCACTTCGTGTGGAACCGCGGGCTCTACGTGCAGGGCTACTCGCCGACCATCCACCCCACCGACGCCTCCGACCTCGCGTCGCACGCCACCGTCGACATCCTGACGACGGCCACGGAGGCGTCGCCGACGGCGTCCGCCACGCTGCAGTGGACGCACGGGTCACTGAACGCCCTGTCGTGGGGCTTCCTCCTCCCCGTCGGCGCGGCGGTGGCGCGGTACCTGCGGCCGTGCGCGTCGACCGGGCCGGCGTGGTTCTACGCGCACGCGGCGATACAGGCGACGGGGTACGCCCTGGGCGCGGCCGGGTTCGCGCTGGGGCTGGTGATGGGGTCGGCGTCGCCGGGGGTGACGTACAAGCTGCACCGCGGGCTGGGCATCGCGGCGGCGACGGCGGGGAGCCTGCAGACGCTGGCGATGCTGTTCCGGCCGAAGACGACGAACCGGTACCGCAAGTACTGGAAGTCGTACCACCACCTGGTTGGGTACGGGTGCGTGGTGGTCGGGGTGGTGAACGTGTTCCAGGGGTTCGAGGTGATGGGGCTCGGCGCGTCCTACTGGAAGCTGGGCTACTGCATGGCGCTGGCCACGCTGGCCGGCGGCTGCGTGGCGCTGGAGGTGAACGCCTGGGTCGTCTTCTGCAGGAGGCAGCAGGAGGAGAAGCTCATGAGGAGGGAGGTCGAGGACGTCGTCGTCAAGGACAGGGCAGCTGCCTTCTAGCCAAGCCGGGGGCTCTACTCTCGGTGTCGCGGGGCCATCCATGCATACAGTTTGTGGTTGACTGCTGACGTGGCTGGGGTTGACATCCATGACAGCAATCAACGTGATCAAGATGCAGCACACGCTGACGCGAGCTAATCTAATCGGGCACGTTCGCTGGCAAGCTAATAGTAGTAAGGCAAATGGGGTTGAAGACTTGAAGGCGTGATTAGTTTTTTTGTCTGATGATGGTGAGCGTGCACCAGTTCGATACTAGTGTATTCCTGTGGTATTGCCAAAGGAAATGTTCTTTTTTGTGTCTTCATTATTTCTGTATAAGTACACGCACATATAGGAGATATTCATGTACAAGTTGCTTCAATCTCAAGTTCCAAAGAAGTTGCTTCCATTGAGTACCTTTCTGAAGTACTCCAGATTTCAGTGGAAGTAAGGAACTGTTTCACGACAATTCAACCACGGAAACGTAGGGCCCAACCTGGACGACGTCGCGTCGATCGATAGGGCGGCGTGGTGGAGTGGACGGGGGCGCCCGGGCAGCCTGTTACGCGTGTAGCGCGACGGATGCGAGCACTGATCACCTCGTCGTGGAAGGTGAAAAAAACGACGTGCACGGCCGAGAATCACACGCGCCGTGGGGAGGTGGGGCACGTTGCGGGGCGGTTTTGCCGTTTGCACCGTGCACGTTGCGGCCCTCGACCATGCGCGTACCGCGTACGGGGTGCGTGCCCGTACCCGTGCCCCGTGGGCCGCCCGCGGCCTACACATCACCGTTTCACCGGCCATTCGAGTTTTGCGGGCTTCGGTTTGCACGCTGCAGCCTGAAGGCACCGACGTCGTGCTACTTCCAAAGCTATGGTGCGGCGCGGTGGCGCTACTAATTCAGTTGTAACCAAATTAAACAAGATTGACATCTAGACCTATTGAAAACCACTACAATTTTTAGCTTTTGATTGCTGGGACGCTGAAATATTCAGAGAGGCAAGATAAAAACGACGTGAATGTTAAGAAATAATATAATATCAAATAATTAGAAGAGGTGAGACTTTAAACCCAAATCATCTAGCCCACCACCTTATGAAGCTAGCCGAAAAACTTCAGGGCGTTTCTCCAGAGAGACAAAGATAACTTAGAGGTAACATAGACAGAACTTGCATTCTCATAATCTCATCACGAAGGCTCGTTTGAGTTCAGTGAAGATCAAGATTTGGTACGGGTACATAAAATGAGAAAGTTAATTATTAGCACACCATTAATTGAGTTTTAGTTATTTCAAAATTAAAGAATGAATGTATGTGATATTTAAAACAACTTTTATATAGAAAGTTTTTTTTCATAAAAATATACCTTGAAAACGTGATAATAAAAACAATATTTATCTTAATTGAAACATGGTACAACTAGTTTTTCCGGTTGGGTGTAAAAGTAAAAGTGCAATGTTGTAATTTACAGGTACAATTCCGTCTAGATAACGGCGATTGTTTTGTCAATTACTCAGGCTGTGTTTAGTTTCTGAAATTGGGGAGAAGTTTAGAGAAAGTTGGTAGTTTAGAAAAAAAGTTAGGAGTTTATGTGTGTAGGAAAGTTTTGGATGTGATCTAATGGAAAATTGGGAGTTTAGGGAAGTTTGTGTGAACTAAACAGGCCTCAAATCACACCAACTTTCTTAAGGCTGATGAGTGTGATTACTTGAGCTATTATTCCAGCTTTGGGCCATCTCTATCTCAAAATAAAAGAAAAGCTCCACCAACTTTGGATATTTGGGATGGACATTGTCTATCAGTCAACTATCAGCACTCAGCAGTCAGCACTTTGGACTAAACCACACTGGCCATGTTCACACGGCTGGGTTGGGATAAGTGTAATGGAACACTTTTGCCAAATGCCCACCTTTTTCCATGGCCCTTTTTTCGCGTTGCCGAGCGGTCAGTGGAGCGTGGATTATGAGTGTTGCCCTTTATTTGTTCCTGAATTCAACCCGGCCCATTCTCAACTTCCGCACGAGCAGAATCTTCAAATTCCTCTGGAATAGATGCTTTTGGTGGAACATTGAGGTAAGGTTTATGCTACTTTGTTGAAATCAAACTCTTTACTAAAGGAGTGTTTGAGAGCTTTAGCCCCTCTCAAAAAAATATAAATTCTTATAGAAGGGATTAAAATTTCTGTGAGGGGGATTAAATTTTTGTGATTTCACGCACGGCACGGCAAAAGCCAGATGAGACGAGGGACCCCCTCTGCATGTAGCCACTTCGTCTGCACTGACGATTCCTAGCGAAAAAAAATCCAGTGATGCGGCTTCTAGAGGTCTTAGCTAGAACTCCATTGACATTAAATTATCTGGACGACGCTGACTATTTGACTTGGCATGATAGGTAGTAATTATTAATTAAGTAATTTAAGTAATTATTAATTCTTTTCATATCATTTAATTCATTGTTAAATATATTTTTATATAGGCATATAATTTTACATATTTCACAAAAGTTTTTGAATAAGACGAACGGTCAAACATGTGCTAAAAATTCAACGGTGTCAAACATTTCAAAACGGAGGGAGTATATGAACTTCTCTAGAACTAGGGATTCTACGGGCCATTTTGGATTGATGCCAAAATATGCCCTACCAATTTGTTTGGTAGTTTGAATAGTAAATGTAATGGTTTGGTTTGAAGTCAAGTGAATGGTAATGCCCATAATTAATTTGGTATAATTCTAGAACTTTCTTGACTATAATATAAAATTTGGCTTCTTCCAATTAGTATCAATCCAAATTCATTCATCTGAAATGCTACCCTACCAAAATATTGGTAGTACCAAAACATATCTAAGTTTTAGCACTACCAATATTTTGATAGGACACTAAACCAAACAAGCCCTATGTACAATAACGTCCAAGAAGGCAAGAATAAACATGAACACAATATATACTGTTTTAGACACTCCAGACATGGTCGGTACGTCCGTACGCTTCATATGTCAAGTTTTGCAGCAGGAAACCAAGATGTTTTCAGGCAGTGTCACGAGGCAAAGAACGGTCGAGGTCTCGGAGACCTTGCGCTGTTTTGCGCAACAGGAGATCCCACGTCTGCCACAGCCCACAGTCCGACTAATGTACCCGGGGCAGGGGTGGGCAGTTGGGAGTTTTCTCCGCCGCCCATTTCTACTGGAGTTGTTCTACCAATTCTATAAAATTTTGCGTACATCACCTTGGATGCTTTAGAATCACACACTGATCCTGCAACAAGACAACAATTCTATTTTCACCCAAAAATAAAAAATGGTAGGAGTACTAGTAAATTACTCTATCCGTTTTAAGTTATAAGATATTTTGACTTTGGTTAAAGTTAAACTACTTTAAGTTTGACCAAGTTTATACCCTCTCCCCTCTCCATTTCAGGTTATAAGAAGTTTTGATTTTTGTCAAAGTCAAACTGTTTTAAGTTTAACTAAGTTAAGTTTATAGGCGAATATAGTAATATTTATAACACTAAATTAGTTTCATCAAATCAATAATTAAATATATTTCCATAGTAAATTTGTCTTTGGTTGAAAATGTTGCTTTTTTTTACAAACTTGGTCAAACTTAAAGCAGTTTGACTTTCATCAAAGTCAAAACATTTTATAATCTGAAACGGAGGGAGTAGTAAAAAAGTAATATTTTTGACCCAAAACAAATTTATTATAAAATATATTTAATTATTAATTTAATAAGACTAATTTGGTAATATAAATATTATTATATTTGTCTATAAACTTAGCCAAACTTAAAGCAGTTTGACTTTAACCAAAGTCAAAACATCTTATAACCTGAAACGGAGGGAGTAGTAATCATACATTCCTCGATAGAGTAATTAATACTCCCTCCGTTTTAATGTAAGACTTTCTAGCATTGCCAGCATTTATATATATGTTAATAAATTTAGACATATATATATATATATATATATAGATCCAATGCTAGAAAGTCTTACATTATGAAATAGAGGGAGTAGGTATTAGTAAAGAGAGAATCCCTTATATACCACTCCAAATTAATCGGTTCGCTTATATGCCACTTCAAATTGGCTTCTACCTTCTATGCCACCGGTTCAAGTTTGTCATTCCTTTTATGCCATTGCCATCACTAAAACGCTAGTTGACATTTAACCTCATAGTAAAAAGACGCATTTGTCCTTGAGAGTTGGTATACAACCAATAATAAGTATTTTAGTACTAATGTAGCTACTGGATACAACATATAAAAATGATTTTTTTTCATCACATGCAATTTTAGCCATCACCATCACAAATAAATTTTCAATAAAAGCATGAAACATGCAGTTTTCCAACAATATTTTTAATACAAAGAGCATTTTTCACTAGTTCTGATAAAATTTTGTTCACTCAAAAAGGATTAAAAATAAATTAGTTATGATTTTTTGAAGTTTACACATTTTTTACTTGAGAGGGCATATTGATCATTTATGGAAAAAACTAACGTTTGACTAACAGTCAACTAACACTATAGTGTTGGGAGTAGCATGAAAGGGTGGAAAAGCTTGAACCAGTGGCATACAAGGGAGAAGCCAATTTTGAGTGGCAGATAAGGGAACTGGCCAATTTCTAGTGGCATATAAAGGATTATCCCGTTAGTAAAAGAATGGTGTTCTTGATATTTGACAAATAGAAGCATACGTGATACGAGGGGCATGTACTGATAGACGGAATTATGAAACTTTAATAATATTGGTTTTAAAAACACAACATCTTGCTTAAAAAGCTTTCAATATCTTATTTGTCTTTACTGTTATAAGACTAGTTTTTTTTCTAATAATTAGATGCAATATTTCTGTATTCTGTTGTTATTGCCATTGAAGCCCACAAACTCATTTCTAAATGCTATCAAGACAATGTTGCGTGCAGACGCCATAACATATGTAAGCTGAGATTGTGATACAAGCTAGCACTCAACCCATTGATAGTTGTTTTTGATCGGCAACAAAACGACACAAATTATAGCTCTTTATATTTTCCCCTTCAATATATACATTCAAATTTACCCACTAGCCTCTGCATAATATGCATAGCGAAACAATACGTTCACTGTGCATAAATGTAGATTGGTTGGTGCGTGCGATGTGTCATATGTACAAATGTACAATGCTAATGCGTGTGGCTCACCTAACAGCGCCAACAAATGCCTAACCCATGTAATTTGTAGAGAACACAATGCGTTTTCTGCAAAAGTGGCGCCCATTTTTATATTTCACCTTTCCCCTACCCCCTCCATAGACCATAGAGTCCCATGATCCCCCACATCCCTCGCCCTTATTTTAACACAGTTGAAGCGACCAAAGCCTCCAAGGTCCTTCCTACATTGGGCACCTCGAGCGCGACTTACCCAAACCCGCCACCATTAATCTCCAGTGAAAAAGAGGTAAAACTCTGCGTTCTTCCCGTAATTCCTGTGTAAGACTGTTAATCTCGTTTTCCTACTAGCTCTTGCTCTACTGCTCTTAGTACACAGCAGTTTCTGTTCCAAGCTCAGTCGAATTCCCATGCCTGTGTTAGTTCGTCCAGTTCTTGATTTGAGCGTTTTTGTCCCGAATTTTCTTGCCCTTGTTTGAACAACGGGAAGAATTTGGTAGGGATATGGTTCTTGATGCTGCTAGGGCTTTCGATTCGTGTAAACAGCTGAACATTTCGGTTGTTTCTTCACGGAATTGAGTTTAGCGTTACCACATGCACCTAAATTTCAGTTCTTGTAGTATGTAATAAAATATGTAATGCATAATTTGTGCTCAGCTGCTGTTTTTCCTGCCATTTTCCTTTATACTGTCTGTAGTACATCATGTGTTGGTTTGCTTGCGCCCCGCGCCCCAGCTACTGATCTACTGTTCATGCTGTAATTTTGCGTATTGATTCGAAATATTTGAGCTGGCCTTTTGGGGTTCTACAGCGGAGCCGAATTTGCTCCCCAATTTACCTTTTTATTTCTGTTAAGGTAAATCTTGTAGGAGTATATGCTAAAGAGGATGAGGATTTTCAGATTGTCAGAAACGAATTTCATTTCAATTTTTGTTCCTAATTTTCAAAACACCGTGCTCTCCTGTTTCAGGGTAACTTCATATCATTAAAAGCTCGGATATCGCAGGAATTGGCGATCTTTTAGTTGAAGTCCTTCAGATTGTAAGTCCAAATTATTTCTCCCGTCAGATTCCCTCCAGATTAGAAAGTTCAATGCTTTCCTACCCAGTCAAACTCATCTGTTCTGCAACTGTGACTTTGTGAGCAAAACATTTTTCCAAATTCAGGGCCCAATTATTGTAGAAAAGTATTAGGAACACCTTTCTGTGCATGTTCTGCTGAATTTATCTGCACTTTTTGCACAACTTTATGCTAAAACATATTTCTCTATCTGTCATAAGTGCAGTCTTGGGACACCTGTAATGGCAGCTTACCAAACTGGCCCCGTGTCTGAGCCACCGATGCTGAACACTGAGATTATCACTCAAAAAGTCACCGGGTTTAATACTGAGACCACGACCAAAGAAAAGCCCATAGGCTACCTTGATGTTTTTGTACACCAAGCACGCGATATTCACAACATATGCATCTACCACAAGCAGGATGTTTATGCAAAGCTGTGCCTCACGAGTGACCCAGATGTGTCATGCTCAACCAAGGTGATCAACGGTGGTGGGCGCAACCCGGTATTTGACGATGGTCTAAGGCTCGATGTGCGCACTGTGGATGCTTCCCTTAAGTGTGAAATATGGATGTTGAGCAGGGTGAGAAACTACCTGGAAGACCAGCTTCTTGGCTTTGCCCTTGTTCCTCTGGCAGACATTGTAATGGCTGATGGAAAGCTTGTCCAGGAATTCTCCATGACATCCACTGACCTGCTCCACACCCCTGCTGGATTTGTTCAGCTGTCCTTGTCTTATGTTGGATGTTCTCCAGATGTCATCCCCATTCCAGCACCCAACAAGTCAGCGTTAGTAGTTAACGGTTCTGGTAATGATAGCTCTGTCCCTTGCGAACTTGAAAAGATTGAATTCCCGGACTTGAATGTGGTGAATGAGAATCAAATTATGGTCTCCAAGTATTTCGAGATGGAGACCTTGAGCTATGAGGATTCAGTTAAGGTTGACAACCCAAAGTTAGTGCAATCTGATGCAGCTGTTCCTGGTACTGAATTATTTAACAAGAATCTCGATGAATATCGGGAGGGAAGTCCTCAAAGTTGTGTATCAACCACAGACTACTCCACAGCCACATCTGTCACTCCACATTCAGTTTCTGAGCCATCAGACACCATCCTTGCAGCATCTCCCACTGGAAGCCAGAGGGAGAAAAGCCAGGATGTTACCGATGGCGAGGCTGATTCTTCCGATGTACCACTCAAGGGTGAAGTTGTCAAGCCTGTGATCAGCATTAATCTCAACCCTGGTGAGTCTGTTGTTCAGGAGGACATAGTTAACATGTACATGAAGAGCATGCAGCAGTTTACTGAATCCCTTGCAAAGATGAAGCTGCCATTGGATGTGGAGAACAGTAGCCCCTCAACTGAAAACAACACTGACTCGATTACAGCTGAGAAGCCATCCCCATCGAAGGGTTCTAGGGTCTTCTATGGAAGCAGAGCCTTCTTCTAAGATGCTGATACTAAGTAGGATCGTGTATTAGTATACATGGTTCGTATTTGTCCGACTGGCTGTCATGTGTTTAATAGTTATATATATGCTTCCTAAGTTTCTGTTGCTACAATGAGTTTCTAGGACTCACTCTACACTTGTATTGCTTACAATGTCATGGTCAGTTAAAAATATAAGCATTTTGGAATAATTTCGCCTGAGCTGTAACTAGGCCTGGTAATGGGTCGTGGCCCACCCCGAACCCCACCCCTGCTCATTTATGTGTAGGAAAAAGTACACCGAAGGTCCCTCAACTTGTCATCGAATTACAAAATCATCCTCCAACCGCAAAACCAGATACAGGACATCCCTCAACTTACAAAACCGTTCATTTTAGGTCCTTCGGTGGTTTTGATCCCGGTTTCGTCCGATGTGGCGGCTGAGTCAGCGTGGGACCCACGTGGGTCCCACATGTCAGGGTGTACAGTCAGCACCTCTCCCTTCCCCCTTCTCCCCCTTCCTCTTCTCTCTCTCTCTCTCTCTCTCTCTCTCTCTTCCCCTCTGCAGGATGCCCGGCGAGTGGGGAGCTCGTCGGGGCGAGGTGGGAGAGGACATCCGGCGGGCCGGCGATGTGGCGGCGGCGGCGGCGTCGTCGACGATGCGGGAGAAGGGAGAGCGTCACAGGCTCACCGCGCGTGCGACCTCGAGGTCAGGTCGTCAGAGAGGCCTGGGCGGTGGCGGCGAGGACGCCAAGGCGCGGGACTCCGGGTGGCGGCGGCGGCATACGACGCGCTGCGGGCGCCGGTTTGGGACCAATTAGAGGAGCAGAGAAGATTAGGGCCAGGCCGTCATCTCCCGACGACGGCGGCGCGGCAAGGAGGGCTCGACGAAGAAGATGAGAAGCGTGGTGCTGTGGGAGGCCATGGCGGGGCTCCCGGAGCACGGCGACAGCCGCGTGAGGTAAGGCGACACGTGGCGGCGGGCAAGCGAGGGCGGCGAAGGCAAGCCCGCAGCGGCGGTGGCTAAGGAAGCAGCGGAGACGCGGTTGAGGAGTGGACGGCGACGGGCGGGAGCAGGCCGACGGCGGCAAGGGAGTTGGGCGAGCACGATGGCGGAGAGGCAGCGGTAGCAGTAGGCGAGCGCGGCTGCGGATGGGGAGCGGCGGTGCCGACGACTCCGCACCGCTCGGCCTCATCGTCGTCGGCGGCTTCGGGTGGGGGCGCCGCGCCGCCGGCTTCTCGTCGCTTGCCATGGCGCTCGAACGGGGGAAGACGGCCGGAGCGGCGGCTCGTTGGGGACGGCCTCGCGGAAGAGCAACAGCCGGAAGGACAACAGCGGCGGCGGCGGCGACAACGTGTCGGCCGGCCAACTCCCTCCTCGCCGCCTCCATCCCCACTTCCCTCCCGCTGTCGCCGTCTCCGTCTTCCGCTCCTCCCTCGCCCCGGATGGGAGTTTCGTCGGAGCGGCGTCCACCTCCTCCACTTCTCCACCGCCGTTCCCCTCCAGCTCCCCCTTCGCTCTGCCCCTGTGGTCCTGCCACCGACACCCCTCCCCGCTCGCGTGCGCCGACCTCGTCGACCGGGGTGACTTCAACGGGGCACGCCGCGACGGGACACCGTGCTCGCTGCCGCCGACCTCATCGAGCGGGGTGACTTCGACGGGGACAAGAGAGGCCATGGCGACGCCCGACCGCGGCGTGCTCCTCTGCACCGGCGATCGCGCCCGCGCCCGCGCCCGCCGCACCGTCCTGCCGCGCCGCCCTGGCTGCTCTTCGCCGGCCACGCCCTGGTGACATGGACAGTCTGACATGTGGGTCCCACGCGGGTCCCACGCTGACTCAACCGCCACGTCGGACAATACCAGGGTCAAAACCACCGAAGGACCTAAATTGAACGGTTTTGTAACTTGAGGGATGTCATATATCTGGTTTTGTGGTTGGGGGATGATTTTGTAACTCGATGACAAGTTGAGGGACCTTCGTTGCACTTTTTCCTTACGTGTATATAGTGCACCTGAACCCCACCCTAGCCCATTAACATGCATTTTTAGCCCAAACCAACCCCAACCTTTAAGCTTTTCAGTGCTTGTTGAACCCTAACCCTTTGTGAACCCTTGGACAACCCATAAACAATGAAGAGACTAACCCATTGGGCCTTTTAGCATGCTCAGCACCACAGCGGCTCAGCCATACACAACTGTAGAGCCATCGCACATACATGAAAGCTTTGGATACATGCATAGAACAGCTATAGGGAGTAAGACAAATAATTTTTAGATAAGTTAAATAGGGATTACCACAAACTAAGCCAGGTTTAAGAGTATGACTGAATTTTCTTAAGAAATACACAATAGTTTAGCAAAATTAGGCTACAAATAGACACGCCTTGAAACTAATAAACATCTATGAATCAGATCAAAATTTTTTCATTCAAAAGTACTAGCAAGATCTATTGATGCTTAATCTCAGCCTTCCTCTTATGTCACAGCTTGTCCAGTGCAATGTTTCCATCTCCCTGTAGAAACAAAATGAGGTTAGAAGTTAGAACCTATTAAAGAAGGCATCACTACAATAATCCATGTTCCTATACTTAAGCAATGGAAATTCAGAATTGCTTTACTCCTACTAGTTGGTTGGGCATCAAACCATGTCATTTTTTTGATGTAATCGAGATTAAATGCTACTACCAACTAATGTGTAATTGTACAAACACAATTCGTTCCATCTGAGCTTTAAAATATATAAATACCACAAGTTTCTAGCAGAGAACCAGACAAAATCAGATGAGAATTTAGGTGACAGATTGACAGTGGTGATGCATCGTTTGTTGCTAACTCAGTACTACATTTTCTCTTAAGATGATTTCAGAATTCAGATATGATTTCCCTGGTATCAGATTAGCATACATATATAGAGATATTGGATAATGCATTGCAAGTTTACAGGTGATTATGTCTATAACTATTTTAACTAGTATACCGTGACAAAGTTCTTTCCTCAGTTTGCATCATTGGATAATTCATAGTCAATCAAGTTACGAACAGAACAATGCAGTGCACCAATAAATATATAGTGCAGATCAAGCTACATCATACATGTAATTCAGCTCCAATCAAACATAGAAAAAATGTAGTCAGGGATATCATATAAATAGGCAGCATGAAGCATATTCTTACGAATCAACATTTAACTTTCAAAGATACCTCTACTTGAGAGTTCAGCATTTAACTATTCAACATAGTCTTCCAAATCACAAATGCGAGATCCTTCTGTTGCATAGCCTGCATATTGAAGCACAAGAAATGAGATCAAGTATATGCTATAATACATACCCTTACATAATGTCAATCTTTTACCTTTTTCATCATCGTCAAATCCAATTATCCAATCTTTCAAACATATACTTGCCTCAAGGGTTTCAGGGGACATAGAAGTTCGATCTTTACCCAATAGCCTTCCAGCAGCACTAAGAAATCTGAATAGATATGTAACTCTAAGTATAGTACTTAGAAACAAAGTGAAAATTTATACTAGTTGATAACAAGTAAGTTTTTATTACAGTATAAATTAAATTACTCATATAGCACAAGAATTCACTTAGGCCAAAAGGACATGCAGTAACTTGTAGCCACACAGCCTCTAACAAAAAGCATGCATTTAGAATCAGCCTAAGTATATTCAGCACAATGCGCCATCTACCTAAGTGGCCTGAAAAAAATGTATATTCAGCACTTAAAGGCAGAATATCAGATCCTTGTATCCTAAAATTCAGATCAACACATGGCCACCAGCTTTCAGTTAATCTCAAACAGAAGAGCAGCTAGTTCGACCAACACAGTTTCAGAATATTATATATGTGTGTTTATTTAAAATCCAAGATATATACAACTTAATGTATTACAAGTTGCAGTAGTACAAATCATTATATGCCCAGAATTTTCTCTATTACAGATTCCTAAAATTCAATATGACATAAAGAGGGACTAGCAAGAATAGCAATGCCTTGAAACAATATTCGTTCGTCTGCATATACTTCTTATTTAAGAGAATCCTATGATCAGAGATACAAGCTTATACATTATATTCAATGCCTAATCTAATCCTAATAGCCCTTTCCAAGTTTGTACTGTGAATCGGCAAACTAATAAGCAATCCCTAGCTGGATTAACAATTTCAACATGTGATCAAGATTTGTTTCATTCAGATGTTAGCAGAGCAATCTAATCCGCTGCACTGAAACCAAGAACAAGAATAGCAATGCCTGTAGCAAAGAAAACAAACCTTGGTTGCAGAAGCCGACGTGCAGAGAAGGGGCTGCGCGGTGCTGCGGATCTCGGACAGGAGGCGGAGGCAACGGAGGACGGCGGCGCGGTGCCGGATCTTGACCGGGAGGCGGAGCCGCGGAGGACCGACAGTTGGTGGAGGCGTACGACGCGCCGGCGGATAGGGTGGCGCGATCTGGATGGGAAGGACGGAGCGGCGGCGCTCGCGGACAGGGACGGGGACAGCGACGGAGGATCGCGACGGGGAGGAGGCGGAGGCGGAGGCGGAGGGGGAGAGAAGGCGGCGCAAGGCGGCGGCGGCCGCCGATCCAGTCGCCGAGCTCCTACCGCTGTGGGTTCTCCCACAAAGGAGACCCTTTTTTACTGCCCATGGGCTGAACCCCATTTTGAGCTACAGTGTCCAGCCCATCGTAACCCTTATTTTACATGGCCCAACCCAACCCTGCCCTTATTCCTTCCTGTAATAAGTTCATTTGAGGTCCCTTAATTTTACACCGAATCCGATTCTCGTCCTTAAACCCCAAAACCAGATACAACCGGTCCTCGAACTATCAAAACCGGTACAAGGTCCCTTAGCGGTTTTGAAGGCGGTTTTGGCTGACGTGGCGCCTACGTGGCTTGTTTCACTAGGCCTCCGTCCCTGTGGCATTGACGCGGCGATGACGTGGCAATTATATATTGGAAAAATAATAAAAATCATGGGCCCACATGTCAGCCACACAAAAAAAAAATCTAAAAATAATGGGGCCCACATGTCAGTTAAAAAATGGTGGGGCCCACGTGGGCCCCGCATGTCATCTCCCTCTCCCCACTTGGCTCTCACTCTTCTTCCTCATCACGTTGCAGCATGCCGACAACGACGGCGTCGGCCGAAGCATGCCGGCGGAGCGGCGGCTGCGGCAGGCCGCGGGCGAAGGGGCCCACGAGGAGCGGAGGGGCGGGCGGAGCGGCGGGCCAACCAATCACCCACTGGCCCCCGCCGTTGTTCGCGACACCGCTCTCCTCGCCGTCGCCGGTTCACTCGCCGCCGCCGTCGCCGGTTCACTCGCTGCACAGCCATGGGGATGGAGGGGAGTTGGTGGCGGAGAAGCACGTCCGCTACATCGTCACCGTGGAGAAGGTAGGCCGCCTCTCGATCGGATGCGAGCTGCTCGATGCAGCGGCTGATTCTGCTCGGTGTCTTGCGAATTCAAGCAAAACAGTCAGCCTCAATGTAAAGTAGCAGGATTGACTAGATTCATTTGGACATTGATAAACTAATGTTTGCACAAGCATGATGAACCTCAGTCAAGATCTAGTAGTAAAGGATACAATCAGCAACCTTATCGACATCGAGAGCATCAAGCCGATCAAAGAGGCACAGGACGTGCACGGCGCTGAGCGTGTAGAGGACATGCGCGTCGTGCCCAACGTTTCCCCCCAATCCACCTACAACACCCAAATCCGAAGAACCAAACGCACAGATCAAGTCAAGAACACGTCTCCCTCAAGGATCCCAAGACCATCACCACCAACAATCAATCAATCAATTCCGCCCCCTCCCCTTCTCGCGGATCCGGAATCCGGGTGGTAGCAGGACATGATCCACCCGATGAATTCGTCGGCTTCTACGGCGTGGAGCTTGTGGAGGAGGTCGAGCGTGGTGAGGCCCCAGTACGCGCCGTTGAGTCGGATGTGCTCCATCACCAGCGACTCGAACGAGTCCTTCTGCATCACAGCAGCAGCAGCAGCAGCGAAGAGCATCCAATCAGAATCAGCCGCCGCATCGAGCAGCTCGCATCCGAGCGAGAGGCGGCCTACCTTCTCCACGGTGACGATGTAGCGGACGTGTTTCTCCGCCGCCAGCTCCCCTCAATCCCCCATGGCTGCGCCGGCTAGGCCAGAAGCTTCGCGAGGGAGGCGGCGGCGGCGAGGAGAGCGGTGTCGCGAGTGGGGAGAGTGAGATGACATGTGGGGCCCACCATATTTATTTTTTTAGCTCACATGTGGGCCCCCACCATTTTTAGATTTTTTTTGCGCAACTGATATGTGGGCCCGTGATTTTTATTATTTTTCTGAGATTTAATTGCCACGTTATCGCCACGTCAATGCCACATGGGACAGAGAACTACTCAAACCAGCCACGTAGGCGCCACGTCAACCGAAACCGCCTTCAAAACCGCTAAGGGACCTCATTTGCACCGGTTTTGATAGTTCGGGGACCGGTTTTATCTGGTTTTGAGGTTAAGGATGAAAATCGGATTCGGTGTAAACTTAAGGGACCTCAGATGAACTTATTCCTTCCTATAACCCATAAAAGACACACCATTTTCAGCCCATTAGTGTTTCAACCCGTACAACCCATGGGTAGGCCAGCCCATTACCAGGCCTAGCTGTAACTCGTAGGTTGACGTTGTGCACTAGTTCTTAATGAAGGTTATGTCATGGCTCATGAATGAATCCTTTAACACTTCCATGAATCCTTTAAGGGTCTAAGAACAGTACAAGTGACAAATAGCTGGGTTTGAATGGTATGGAATCCATGCTTACCGAGACCAAGGGACAGCGATCCGCTGCAGTAAATTAACACTATCATGTTTCATCATAATTCCGATGATAAATTCTTCAGATATAGTACGCACCTTGCTGATCTGCAGCGCCACGATCCATCGATCCCCATCTGCTTGAAGGCAGGGGAGGACCGGAGGACGCGACCGGGCTGTGCGGCTGTGCCTGCCATGGCGGATGTCGCGCGCGCGTCGCCTCTGCGGCCGGTCGGCCGTCGGCGGTGGCGTCGATCGGACACGTCGTCGCAGCCTCGGATAGTCGGATGCGCCGTGCACGGAGGAGGGTTCGACCGCTTTTGCGGAGGCCCGTGGGCTTTAGGGCGAAGCGTACACGGGGAAGGCCTGTTATTTCCATGGGCCGTCAGCCCGTCACCATGAGGTGTTTCGAGAGAAAAAAAACATGAAATGTGGCACATAAATAAACTCTCTACTTCGTATTATTCATGTATTACCTCTTAATTAATAGGTCATCTGATTCTTCTAAAATAATAGTTCAGTACATGACTCATCTGGTTATGGCACTACCATGATCTACCATCTACAGAGGACGTGCCGAGAACCATAAATACGTTACACACATGCTAAAGCCTAAAAGCATCTATTAAGAGGAGAAGAGCAGCTCTTCATGCTGGCTCAGCTCCTTGCAGGCCTCCTTGATGGTTGCCTCGGCGACGCCGGAGGCCTTGGACACGTCGCGCGCGGACGTCTGGGCGCCGGCGCGCTGCACCACCATGTAGATGATCGCAGCGGCGATGGACTCCGGGTTGCGCCGCACGTCGAGCTTGTCCTCCAGCGTCTGCGCCGCCCTCTGCGCCTCCCGCACCTCCGGCTTGCCCATCCCGAGCCGCGAGCCGAAGCGGCTCATGTAGTCGGCGGCGCGCACGACGCCCATCTCCATGGCCGTCCCGGCCTCCTCCCCGAGGTGCCTCCTGATGATCCTCTCCATCCTCCCGATCTCCTTCTTGTCCTGGCAATCGCGCATCACCGAGGCGAGCTCCTTCAGCGTCCGCGGGTTGCCCTCGTTGCGGCACGCGATGTGGAGGCAGGCCGCGTACGCGGCGTCGCGGTTCCGCACCCTGGCGCACAGCTTCGCCTCCTCCATCTTCTTGAACAGCTCCTTGGCCCGGTCTCTGATGGTGGCCACGAGCTGGAGGCGGTCCGCCATGTCGGAGATGGCGCGGAACGCGACGGCCAGCGAGCTGTCTTGGCCCGACTTGGAGTCGACGCGCACATGAGGCGGGGAGGCGGTGTCCTTCGCTTGCCGCTTGGCCGGCGCGACGACGGTGCCGAGCTCCGCGTGCGAGAGGAAGGGGTCGGAGCAGCCGCCGACGCGGTTGGGGTCGCGGTCCTCGCCGCTGCCGGCGTCGGAGAACGTGCGCCACTCGGAGGTCTCGTCGATGTACCGCTCCTCCAGGACGAGCGCGCACTCGGTGCAGATGGTGTCGCCGGTGGCGTGGTCCACCACCACCACCGTCGTGCGGTGGCACTCCGGGCAGTAACACTGCTCGTTGCCGGCGACGCTACACATCGTCGCTATCGAGATCGATCGAGCCGCGCGTGAGAACAATACGCAGGACGAGGGGCAGCGGATCGGTGCGAGGTGAAGCGAAGCGCGCGTGCTCGATGAGTTCCCTGGACACACACGTGGGGTGGGGGTGTACCGGATTTATCCTTTTGCCAATGACGCAGCCTGATCGAACTCGGAGTCGGATTACTCTCGGTCTTGGACATTCGATGCCGATAGAAAAATCGGACGGTCCTCATGAGAGCAGTCCACACGCACGGAGCCCACGTGAGAGCAGCAGCTACTCAGCTAGCATGAGACCGCGTGGAGGGATGTGAGATGTCGTTTCAGCCCATTACTTTCGATATGTTAAAAGTTCGAAACGATTTTTCCTTTTAAACTACATATATAATTAACTATCCACTTGCATCGTTATTATTCATTACAATTAAATCTTTCTTACAAGATCTTTCATGATTATATTTTGATGAAAAATATATATATGTGTTGCATATGGTAGGGGCTCGTTGTTGCAATCAACTTTTTTTTAATGTTACATCTCCTTAAAACATTTTTTAATCGACCGAGCGGCGCGTGCGACACGTACGTCGGCGAAACCATACGCAGAACGAGGGGCAGTGGATCGGTGCGACGTCAAGCGAAGTGCGCGTGCTCAATGAGTTCCCTGGACACACACGCTTGTTATTTAATGTCATCTCAGTATCTAAGATAAAAGTATGCAACTCTTCACATGAATTTGGAGCTTTAAACCAGCCTAGCGTATCTCTAACACAACACCACAGGAAATGTGAGAGGATAGTTAAAAATGAGATGATTCACCTATTCCACCCTCCCACAAAGTTTGCACTTCTCATCTCTTGGCCATTTCATTTTTTTCATACATTCAACAGCCTGTATTCTGCCCTTGCAAACCAACCAAAGAAAAATCTTAATCTTCAAAGATACAAGAATTTTCCAAATCTCAATCATCCTCTGATCTCTGACCCCTCTAAAAGTAAGTTCCCTATAAAGGGACGTAGCTGAGTATATACCATTCTTCTCTAGTTTTCAAAACAGCACATCTCTTCCACTTTCTAACGAGATACCCTCAAGGACTCTCATCAACTCTTCCCATTCTTCTACATCTTCTACCGAAACTGGTCTCCTTAAAGGGATGGACCATTCTCCCTCATTGAATTTTTCTTTTACAGTCACTCCAGGGTCTGCTGTGATAATGTAAATGTATGAAAATTGAATCTTGAGAGGAGTTTCTCCCAGCCACACATCATCCCAAAAACTCATAGCTCTTCCATCTTTAACTTGATATGCACTCCCTAACTTCATAAAATTCTTTATACTATGCAATCCTTTCTAGAACTGAGAGGTTCTCAATTCAGATGATTGAAAAAAACCACTCATTACAATATTTTCTCCTCAGCAGCTGACAGACTGGATCCTCAGAATCTGATTCAATTCTTGCTATCCATGTCCCCAAAAGAGCTATATTCATCACTCTTGTGTTTATAAAACCCAAACTCCTAAAATCTTTTGGCCTACATAAAGCCTCCCATTTCACTATATGATACTTCCTCTTGTTTTCAAGCCCCTCCCAAAAAAATCTTGCCTTAATAGAATCAAATTCATGATGAACCCCCTCTGGCAGCAAATACACCCCCCATGGTGTAAGTTGGGATGCTACGAAGACATGAATTTATCAGCACAAATCTCCCTCCAAAAGATAAATGTCTACACAACCATGTTGCCAACCTCTTTTCCAGTTTATTTGAATCTCCTCTCAATTTAGCTACTATCAATCTCTCACCTTTAACAGGTAAGCCCAAGTATTTCATTGGCAAAGTTCCAAGTTGACAGTTTAGCAGGTTAGCAACCCTTACTGACTCTGCCTCTTCGGCTCCTACACAATCATCTCACTCTTTTGGTAATTTATTTTCAGACCTGACATCTCCTCCAAACAATACAAGAGAAACTTGATTGTAACAATATTAGCATCATCCTTTATCATAAACAACACAGTATCATCAACATACTGCAGATGTGTAAGCCCTCCTGAAACCAAATGTGGAACCAAACCCACCAGATGACCCTGGTCTCTAGCTGACTTAATCATTTCTGATAAAGCATCCCCAACTATCTTAAAAAGCAAAGGAGATAATGGGTCTTCTTGTCTCAAACCCCTTTGAGTCTTAAATAAATCCATTTGCTCCCCATTCATATTAACTGCTACCTTCCCATTCTCAACAGCCCCAATCATCCAATTAATCCACTTCTCATGAAAACCCTTACTTTGAAGCACCTCTTTTAGGAAACTTCTATTCACTTTGTCGTAGGCTTTCTCAAAATCTAAATTCAAGATAATACCATATTGTTGTGTATATATCAACTCATGAATAGTTTCATGCAAGATTACCACCCCATCTAAAATGTTTCTCCCTGGAATAAAAGTAGTTTGGCAAGGGTCTATCACTTTATAAGCTACCCTTGTTAGCCTCTTGGTTATTAGCTTAAAGCGCACATTCAAAAGGCAAATTGGAAGCGTTTGAGAATATTAGCATATTTGATTTTTGGAATCAAAATGATCGCCTCATAATTCAACCTACTTAAATCTAACTCCCCTTTGTAAAGCAAGTCCATCATTTCTTTAATCTGATCCTTTATCTGAGGCCAAAATGCTTTATAGAAACTCACAGAGAAACCATCTGGCCCTAGGGCTGTATTTGTCTTTGTCTCTTTTAGGGCAATTGCAATCTCTTCTATAGTGAACTCCTTAACTAGCTCTATGTTATCGTGCTCATCTACTCCCCTTTTATCCTCTGGATATTTTCACTCATATGTATCTTTGGAAGGGTAGAGTAGCCAAACAACTCTTTATAAAACTCATAAATATGTGCCTTCAATCCTTCTCTACTAGCGATTTCTAACAATAGAATAGTCATCTTCCTCTTCTTTCCACTAGCAACCCCATGAAAGGAAGAAGAATTTGAGTCACCCTCTAAAGTCCATTGTTCGTCACTCCTTATTTGCCAATAAATTCCTTCTTCTTGGTATAGATTATTTAACTCTTCCTACCATTTATATCTTTTTTCCCATCTATCTGGGGAAATATCAGCCACATCTGCCTCCCTCTCCACCTGTTCCAGTTTCCTATGTAAATCTTCCTTCTTTTTTCCTTTTCTCACTTTCTCTATTCCAACTCCAACCTTTTATTTTCCTTCTTAGAATTGAACCCTGACACCTCCAGTGATCCAAAATGTGTGATTTAACTCTCTTTGGCCATTTATTAATCACCTCTGATTTAAAATGCTATTCCTTCAGCTTGGTTGGATCAAACTTAAAAACTTTTTCTGTTTTGTCATGCCCCTTTCTAAAGTTACCAGAAGAGGGTTATGGTCAGACCCAACTTTTAGTAAAGAAAGAGATGCAACTAAAGGATAAATATCATCCTAAGAAAAAGTCACCAATATTCTATCCAGCATCTCTCTAGTTGGATTAGTCGCCGCGAGCTGCCGCCACCACGCCACTACGCCTTGCCGCGCCGCCCGCACGGCCGCCGCACCCGCACTGGGCGGGGCCTCCGCTCGCCGCCTTGCCTCGGAGTGCTGCCCGCACAACGTCGCGCCCACGCCGGGTCTCCACACACCACCTCGCCTTGCAGCGCGACACTGGAAGGAGGAAGATAGAGAGAGAAAAGAAGATAGATAAGAGAGCTGACATGTGGGCCCAAGGGTATTTTTGACATTTCACGCGATTTCTCTCTCATCTTCAACCAGAAATTATTATTTTAATGAGTACAGTGTCCACCGGCAAATATCCAATATTTCAGAGTGTCTTCACCCAAAAGTCACTTCGCGCAGTGTCTTACGACTAAAACCACAAAGTCGCGATCTCATGTAGCAAAATTTGCCTTGGATATAATGGTTGGTGCTCTTGAATTGCACTTTGCCTTAAATATATTTTTATATAACCTGTATCGAATTAGCACCCAATTGGACCGATTATAGGATACTTAATTTTATTTGAATGAAATTTAATGATTTATTAACCAAAATATTATGCCACTGTGGCGTAGTACGGGCATATTACTAGTTTATAATAAATTTTTACATGAGACGAATGGTAAAACGTTATGAAAAATTAATAGCGTTACATATATATGTATATATATATCTTACTAGCAAAGTGTCCGTGCTTCGCTACGGGTAAAGGAACTGTTAAATTCTATAAAGTACACCGTTAACATGCATATAATAATGTTCCAAGATAGGTAAATTATTCATTGCGCTATTGATAATCAAGATGGATAAAAATATTCCTGCTTAGCTCGCATCGCGAAAGAAAAAACGAGAAAATTGAATTAAAACATATTAAATTCTAATTTAATGAAATATAAATTTTCTGCAATATTAATTGCACTCTTTGAAATTATAGCAAAAGTGCCCGTGCGTTGCAATGGGAAGTGTATAGACCAGAAAATTGAGGAAAAGTTAAGAAAAATCTACACTATGTAATAAATTAAAATACAAGTTTGCTGAAATATTTAATATTTTAAGTAGGTAGGTGTAAAAATAAATTAATTTACAAGTAAAGTAAGTGTGAGAAATAAAATGACATGGTTAAATTTAATTTTATTAAATTCTCCATGATTAATTCGCTCTTTGGAATTTTATTTAAATTTTCAGAGCTTAATTGTTAATTTTAATAATACAAACATTATTTAACAATTATTTAATAGGAAAAAGAATAAAAATCCTCCCTTTTAGGTTTGGGCCGAATATGGAAAAGTTTATATCCCCTCCCTTTTGCCTATCCTATGTATCTGGACAGTTTCTTTTATCCATTGAAGTTCATTTTACGTCCTTATGCAATCACGCGATCCATTCGGCGGCCCAGTAATGCGGTGGCCCAATAGGCTGACGGCCCGATGCGGGAGCAGCTGGAGCCGTCCAATTGAATGGACGGTCTAGCTCGATCCTAACCTAAATAAATACCCAAAACCTAACTCTAGAATACATTCCCCGCTCCCCACCCCACCCCACCCCCCGAAACCCAACCGAGTGGCGGCGGCGGCAGCGGTGGCTCCCCCACCGAGCGGCAGTGGCGGCGACGCCTCCTCCCCCCACACCAAGTAGGGGCAGCGGCGGCGCCCTCCCCCCAGCGAGCGGCGGCGGCGTCGGCACCCTCCCCCTCGCAAGCGGCAGCGCGCCCTTCCACCCCCTCACTCTCTCCACTTCTCCCTCTTTCTCTCTGTGTGGCGGCGGCGGGAGGGCCAGCGACGCCCTCCCCTCCGCTAGATCGGGGGGGGGGGGAGGGGAGGTGTGGCGGCGGTGGTGGTGGACGACATGGAGGCGACGGGTCGGACGACGTGGAGGCGGCCGGCCGGACCTCGCCTCCGCCAGATCCGGCAGCGCTGCGGTCAGGACGGCGTGGAGGCGGCGGGCCGGGCCTCGCCTCCTCCAGATCCGGTGGCATGGAGGCAGCTGTGGCCCGGCGGGGCGGGAGGGGCAGCGGCCCGGACGGCGTGGAGGCGGGCGGTGGTGGTGCCGATTTTTTTTTTGCAACTTTTTTTCCATCGCTATTGCTAACCTAATCGGATTGCGTATGGACGAAAACTCGGACGAAATTATATGTGACGAACGGAAAAATACGAATATTTATATTAGTTATAGATTTATATAGCCATGAGAAATTACAAATATTTTGCATTCCATGCAATATTTTTATTCAACCCGGGAAGAAAATCACAAGAATATATCAGCTTAATTGCTGAACAACTTAACACTTAACGGTAGGTGGTACACGACATTCCACACAAACGAATATTTATATTGGTTATATATTTATATAGCCATGAGAAATTACAAATATTTTGCATTCCATGCAATATTTTTATTCAATCCGGGAAGAAAATCACATGAATATATCAGCTTAATTGCTGAACTACTTAACACTTAACGGTAGGAGGCTACACGACATTCCACACAAATTGCCTTATTACTCGATGATCGAACTTTGGCACATCACGATTTCAATTCCTTCATTAAGATACCTCTGCATCTGGAAGTAAAATAAACATTTAGGATTAGGCACCTGAAGATATACGAATATGTTGAAATATCACACATTTACACGATCAACGAAGCTAGTTTTTAGTAGTAAAAAATACGGTCAAACTATGCTAACAAACAAGCAGGTAAGCTCTCGTGCTGTTTTTCCTTAGAAAAAAGTTTTAGTCAAAACTTACATTTATAAACTAGTCGTACTTGCCCTGAACGTGATACTTGCACATCTGGTTCTGCGCGCAGTCGATCAGAATTTCCGCAGAGTCAATACCTGACGCAGAAAAGCGAATAATTAAGCACAAAACTTTAGCATTAGAAATCTTGTCAGGCTCTTGAGTAGGCATAGATATGTATACCTGCAAGATAACCTCCATGGACATAGCCATTGTAGTACTCGCTTGTGTGCTCACCGGTGAAGTAAACCCTCTCAATCGGGGCCTTATGTACACACAAAACAGACAATTTCAGAACCAAATTAAGCTCAAATTTAACTGCACTTGCTATAATCATAAAATCACATTTGCAATTAACATTATGATGTGATTAGCAATTTTTGTGGAGTACCCTGAGCTGGTCATATTCGTAGCGGTTGACGCCAATGGGCCAGTTGGAGAAGGTGCCCTTGTAGAACCTGTTTGACCACCATCTTGGGACGAGGATGTCAGTGGCGTCAGGGACGTCCTGGTCAGGGAACATGTTCCTCAGCACCTCCATGATCTCTGCCTTGGTCTGGTTGTCCGACTGCTGCTCGATCCGCCTCGACTCCTTGTCGGTGACCGTGACAAGAAGAACATTGGAATCTGGGTATTGTTTCTCGAACTCCTGAATAAACACACGCAAAATTAGGGAGAGTGTACGGGTCGGATGTCCGATCGGTTTGGAGAAAAATCGGGTGCTGATGTCAGTATGACGTCAGTGTCCGATTTACGTGCAAAACTACTTTAAACTGATTTTTCTTTTAAATTACTTATCCAAAATCATGATCTGATTGCACCATTAAATTCGTTGCAATTAAATCTTCAAAACAAGAGCACACATGGATATATTCCGACGAATTTTTTTTAGCTTATTATTGAATTATTTTTAAATGTTGCACGATGTTCCACCAGTATATCGGAATTGTTTCACTAAGTAGATCGAAAATATTTCACTCGTTTAAATCGAATGTTGTTTTACCTTATATAAAAACAATGTTTCAGCAAATAGCGAAAAAATGTTTCAGTTCACTGCAACATTTGATTCATACATAGTGAAACATTATAAGTACACTAGCTGAAACATTTTTTTGGTAGAACAAAAAATAAAACGAATTCCCTTAATAGGGAGTTTCCAAAATATGTGGGTTTTTTTTGCAATGGAATATTTTAGTTCACTGCAGCAACATTAGATCTATACATAGTGAAACATTGTGAGTACACTAGGTGAAACATTTTTGGTGGAACAAAAAATAAACCAAATTCCATTAATAGAGGGTTTTCAAAATATGTGGGTGATTTGTTGCAATGGAGTTGTGTGTGTGGATCAGTGGCAGGTGGGGATAGGGGACATGTGGTGGGGGCCAGAGGGGCTGCTGGTGTGCACGTGATGGGGAGAGGGGGAGCGACTGATTTTTTTTCCCCTCCCCCCGCGCGACCGAGAAGGAGCATTGATCATTGAATACAAAGGTTTCGGTTCTGTTAACTGTATTTCAATTCATGGTCAGTGGTTTTGCTACAGTAAATTGGAAGTTTGGTTGAAATTGGAACGATGTGGTGAAAAAGTTGGAAGCTTATGTGTATAGGAAAGTTTTGATGTGATGGAAAAGTTGGAAGTTTGAAGAAATATTTTGGAACTAAACACGGTGTAACTCTTGTAAATTTTTGAGATATGCATTCAGCTATTTGTATCGCTGACTTGTGTACCTGCCATATTCCATAGTAACCTCTCCTGGTGCTCGCGTAGAGGAAGAACTCCCTCCCTTCCCCTTCGGGCCAGAATCTCTTTGGGAACTTGACGAATATCTTGGTGTACACAGCCATGTCGAATTCGTAGATTGCAAGAATCTTCCATTTCTGATCAAATACATGCAGAACACATCGATCAGATGCTATTCGGGAGAAGCGCGCAGGACAGAGAACTCGAAACTTACAGGCAGCTGTGGCTTGAACTGTATAAGATCGCTCTGCAGGACTCCCAAGCTGGCAGAGACCATGACGATAGTCTGCCTGGTACACTGAGCCGTCCTCCGTCTTGACGGTGACTCCGCTCGAGGAGTAGGAGATCTCTCGCACCACCTATAAAATTCACCACCCATGACGTGCTTGTAAATTTACAAGTGTCTCACGATCGAGTAACTATAACCGCACGATTAACCATGGATCGATGATGCATTCCTTTCTTTTCTGACAGTAGTGATATGTATGGGTTACAGAGAAGTGGCAACCTTGTTGAGCTGCAGGCGGGGGTCGGCGACGTTGCCGGAGTCGTCGGTGTTGAGGTACTGGCCGGCGAGGTAGTGGACGACGGACTCGTAGCCCCGTTTGTCGGCGACGAAGTAGACGTCATCTCCGAAGTCGCTGAAGGTCCTCTGGGGAACGGCGTTCTGCAGGCTGGTCACGCGCGGCGGCTCGGCGTACTCGTAGTCATACAGGTAGTAGTCTACCACCATGTCTACCGGCGACGACGGGCCATTTGGCAAACTGTCCATTGCATTTGCACGTACGCAGTCATCAACAGATACAACTTTTCTTAATCTTACAGCAGAAAACAAAGAATATGTCTATACTACTATAAAAAGTACGAGTTCATCAAACATCAAACACCTGTCTTTCTTAATTCTTAGATCTATTCATCCAACAGTTTATATTAAGAGTTGATCACCCTTACAATTAGCGATCCCGCCTCCACTATTCTGCGGTTACGAAAAGGAAGAGAGGAATAAACTAATTTGGTGGTCGTGATTCCTACCACTTTTATTTCTAACCCTTTGATGTGAGATCCTACGGACGAGATTCCTTCCACCATCCTCCCACGCGCAATCCTTTCATTTTTCCTTCTCCTTCGCGTGAAAAACGGACGAGATTCCTCCCACGATCCTCCTATCGAACCTCCTCTCGCAGAAACCCATCGCTCCCCCTCCCCAGCACGCATCCGTCCCCGGCGCCCCCATCCCCTCCTCCTCGCGGCGCCGCCTCCCCATCCCGCCTCCTCGCCACGCCGTCTCCTCCCCCCACCACAAACAACACGCCGCCTCGCCTGCCCATCCCGTCCAACCCACGCCGTCGTCCCGTCGCCGCCACATCGTCGTCGTGCGTTATCCCGCCGGCCACTCGCCGCCTCCCCATCCCGCTAAACCCGCGCCGCCTTCTCCGGCCGTCATCATCCCGCCGCCGCCACATCATCGCCGTGCCCGATCCCGCCAGCCACTCGCCGTCGCCGCCACCCGTCGCTCCTCCTCCCCCACCGCATTAGTTCATCTCACCCCCAACCCCTATTGATCTCGCTTCTCCCCACCTCAACGCCTCCCCAATCCCTATCGCGCCAATCCCCGGCATGACAGCCCCCAGCCAATGCTGCACCTGCATCTACTGCGCCGCTTCAATTCCCGGTGACATGGGAACCGGAGGGGAACTTCCCGCGTCCGCCACGGATGGTCCTGCACGAATCGCTCGACGGTGCTGGGGTCTCCACCGTGCATGCCAGGGCGAATGGCGATCCCTCCATCTCCACCGCGACGCCGGCGACGAATCACCTCATCTCGCCGCCGCCCCTTCACTCTCCCCCACCTTTTGCTGGTGACAATCCCACCTTCGGCACCACGGGATCCCTCTCCACCGCGCCGCCATGGATCCTGCATCTTCCGCTATCCATCACGCCGCCACTGGGACTCCTCGCCCCCGCAAGCCATCGATCCCGCCTGTGACAAGGTAAGCATCTTGCCATCCCGTTCCTTGAACCATTCCATATATTTGTTTGCTATTTTACAGTTGAAATGCAAATTTGCAAAGTCAGTTGACGTGATCGTGAATGACAGTGTCATGTCTCTTGTGTGTATATGCATATCCAGTACTAAATTATCTACGGCTACATGTATATATTTTCATATAGGCAAACATTGGGATGCAACATTATATATTTCAACAGTGCGAAGTTTCTGAAAAATATAAGACAGGGAAGTCTGAAAACTTGCAATCACATAGGAATAATAGGGAGGTCTATGGCCCTCAATTGCCTTTTGTAGTAGCCCTTAATTACTATCCCAACTTAGTTTTATATATCACCACCAAATTCATATACACATCATATATAATCTGTGAGATGACATTTTTCCTGTCAATGACAGCTTGCAGGAAGGTTGAGATTGATTCTGAATTGTTGCCAAGCTGCAGCAGGCCCAATTTTTTTCCATAAGTTGTTGGCATTTTTGCATCTTAAAATGATATGATCTGCTGATTCTAGGGCAGGGCACATTGAGCAGTGGGGATTGTCATCCCAATTCTTTTTTACCATATTAGCTTTGGTGTTCAATCTGTCTCTGAAGGCCAGCCATAAGAAAACTTTACAGTTTTGTGGGATTGTGTGGATCCAGATACAATCAGCCGGTTTCCAAAGGGATCCATGGTATGTCAGCAGCTGATAAGCATTCGCAGTTGAGATTTTAGGTGCAGGGAACAGGAAATTCCTTGTGTCTGTTACCTCTGAGGTGGGTCTTTGGTCTTGTAGAAATTGCAATAGCGCTTGTAGCTCTGATTCTGCCACCCATTTTTGTCTGGAATTTTATTGCGTTAACCATAACTTCTCTTCGAGATTTGGATAATGCTCTTCTCTTAGTTAGTTTTAGTTTATAACAATTTCAAACGACTTCATGATTTTATTCAGTAAATGGACAACCTTAGAAGAATGCATTGACATCCCAGCTGATTTCCCCGCCATAACATTTTCATTGACGTCTTTCCAACAAATCCCCTCTCTTGTTGATAAAAACATATTCTATGTTGGTATGATATATTACTATAATATTTTCATTTATCTATTTGTACATTGCCTTATAAGACTGTGATCTATTCGACTTTCATATGCAAACAGATATTATGGGCGTCAGTACTGAGATCAGTTCCACAGCTACAGCGCGCCCAAGGTCAATGAATGCTGAAAGTTTAAAAAGAACATTACAGATCTGTGATGCAACGTTAGTTATGTAAAACAGAATAATTTTCATTTAAATAAGCTTTGCATTAAGTTATAAACTAATATTTACACTAATTTTCATTTAAATAGCAGTTCGATGAAGTGCCAATCTTTCATTGTATATTCTATGTTCGCGAGGTGGTCTGTGGTTGGCGCGACTAGGTGGAACGCGACGAGGGTCGCACCCAACTCCTTGCGCAGCATCCTCGCTGAGCCATATCATATATGAACTACTTCGCCTTGAAAGGTAGTTTTCATAATCTACCATTGTTGATGAGCCAACGTCTAGGCTGGATTCAACAACGGCTCTCAGGATAATTTAATTCAGCTTCTACATCATATAGCTAAGGTAATATGCAAGTATTATATATTGGCTGGCAATTAGTTTAGTTCATCTTTAAATTTATATATTACCTGGAAATTAGAAATCTGTGACTCAGGAAGTAGTATGCAGGGATTAGGATTGGCAATTGGAGCTACCCTCTTGGACATAAAAAAATGCAAAAACTGTACCTTCAGTTACAGTCATGAGTCATGGCATTCATGCTAGCAGGAGGATTCTTTGTAAAGGTAAGAGCAATATTACGGGCCCAATATTTGTTCAAAATAGATTATGATATAGATATTTTGCACTCCAAAATATATGAGTTTGTGGCTTTTCTGCAGTGTAGATAGAAGTTCTTCTAAAAAATTCAGTTGCAGGGGATGTCGAATTTTCACTTTGTACTGTTTGCAGGGGACCTTCACCCTTCTACTTATACTAAGGTAAACCTTCCAACAATGGTTTTTGAGTTTTTCTGCCATCATGATCAATTAAGATTTACATTACTTGATGTTAGCATTATAGATTCGTGTATTTATTTCCTAATTCATATCATTGGTCTTTCCTCAATGCAAATCACAGTTCAGGATATTTTGTACCTCATATTGTGATTTAATGTTCAGAAGACTATTATGGTATATGGGTACTTGCTCTAATATAATTTTTTTTTCAAATTATACGTCGAAGCTACCATAATATTGCAGATTGCTCTTTCATCTCATCCCGAGTTTTTGATTGGTGCAAAGTGATTAGTTAGGTTATTTTCTGACCAATGCTGATAAAATTGACGTGTACACTCTTTTATGAAATTAACAGTTCATATTATTGTAGCCTGCAGTGATCCAAATAGTTTGAGTCAATACAGGCACAAATTTATTTGTAAAGTGGCTGATTTCTAGATAGGTTGGCATATTGCTTTTCGATATTTAATCAGTATACCTAAATGAAATGGTTCATTGTGCCCAAAAATGTGTACATACAATTTGTTGTACAATAAATTCCTTTATCCAAGTAATATTGCTCTATGAAGGCTGAGATTAAATTGCAGCTGCTTTCTTGCACTTGTATTGCTGTGCATATAGTAGATGAAAAGAAGAAGATTCAGAAAACTAAGGCCAGCTATGAGCCAGAAAAAGCGGTCAAGATGGCCTTCATTCAAGTTATCAGGGATCCAACCTGGATTATCATTTCGAGTTGTCAAATATGAAACCAGGGTCAGTATGAATGAACTAAGATAGCTTCCAAGCGACACCGTAACAAGAGCGAAAGCGGAGCACAAGCTTCTCATGCAATCTGGAGACTGATTGTAGAAGAACTCGGCTTGGCCAATGGCTGTGAACATATCCTTATTGTTTCAAATTTCAAACTGTATTATGTGATTTTCCTTTTCTTTAAGTACATTCTGACATTTAATTGTCAGTGTATACAAACAGTTAGTCTTGCTTTAATGCAGAAGTCCATCAATTGGCATATATAATCTGTTTTTATAATAAAAAGGGATATTGCATATTAAATAAAGCATCTTATCAGATAATTTTTGGACTTCTATTTTTTACTTGAATACATAATAACATGGTATTTGGATCTTCGAAACATGATTTTTTTCTCTATTTATCACCACTGTGTTCGTATGAAAAATCGCAATTTTTGTTAGTACCAAGACTCAATACTCTCTTTCAAATTTGATTCCATTCAATAGGTATTAACGTGCCTTGCATGTGCACGCTTACTAGTATCACTGTAAGTATCAGTGATCGTTGATTAGCACACCACGCCGACCTTGTTTCTGTGGATCTGCCAGGCCAGGTTTTTGAACTTTAGGCCTAACGCACAGGCCACGGGCCGAAGATTTATAAAAGGCCCAATATGCAACAGCTCACCCATGCAAAACCCAACGCTAGTAAACTGTGTCGTCGGTTCACCCATATATGGCCCCCTTTTTTTTCGGATTAAGATTTAGATTATACCTCGGTTTTTCTTATTAAACTGCTAAATTGTGTATTTGTATGAAAACTTTTTACATAGGAGTTGTTCTAAAATATCAGATAAATCTATTTTAAAACTTGTAATAATTAAAACTTAATTAATCATGTGCCAATATTTGTTTTCATGCTCTAACTTCATCATTACTCCTTCCATCCTATGGATTTTTTCCTTCTACTAGTCCCATAATATAAATGATTTTGCTATATTACTTGTCACATCTATCGACTCTAATTCAAATTTCTATCTATTTTAGTGTCTGTTCACTTTGATGTCATTTTCAACCATACTATTTTTTTTGGCAAAGTTATGAAAAAAATGTCAACGTTTAGTTTGTTGCTAAATTTGGTCAATACATAAGAAATCCTACCAAAATTTTAGCAATATTGCCATCTTGGTAAAATTTTGGTATTGCCAAAACTGGTAAGGTTTATTTTGGCTACAATCTGAATTTGCCCTTAACCCTCAACTACCCACTCACCATAACCAAAATCACATTTAATAGGGATATTGTAGTCTTTTTTTCTCTCCTTAATCTTTCCCAAATGGGAATAATCCCTTATATTATGGGATGGAATGAGTAGAAACGAACGCCACCTAGGGCTGTTTGGTTGCCCGCACCACACTTAGAGCAAGTTTAATAGTATAGCCAACTACTAGCTCCAATTCATCTATAGCCAATCTAATAGCTCATTCATACAATAGTTACATACTACATTATTAATATTTGGTCCCACATGACATACACACTGTGTTTTGAAATCCGTGCTACAGCTAGCTACAAATCTATAGCTCGTTCCTCTTCTCTCTTCTTATTTATTTTCTTAAAATATATTTACAGCTGGCTTATAGCCTGCTATTGTACCTGCTTTTACATTGTATGCCGCATGGTGTTCGGTTGCCTGCACTGGTCCATGGGCATGGATGAACCCGTGAAAAAGTAACCTCGGAGCCTGGCCCGACGAAAACACAACTTCCGAGCGACCGAGCTTCGCTCCTCAGTCTGGTTCAAGTTCAACTCGTGCAGGCGCGCTTCTGCTCCGCTCACCTTCCTCCCACGTTCTTTCTTTCCCGTACTCCTCTTTCTGCTGCTCCCCTCATGCTGCCCAGGTTGCCGCGGCCACCCTATTCACCATGGAAGATGATGGATCTTGCTGCTACTCACCAAAAAAAAAAAAAAAAAACTCCGGCTGCTATGCTAGTTCTTATCCCTCCAATTTTTCCTTCATTTCACCCTTTTTCGCTCTCAGGTCGAAGCCCTAGATCTAATCGTAATGCGACAAGCTTCTCTCTAGTTCTTGAGGCGTCACCTCCACTTACGCAAGGATTGCTGCCCGAAACTAGTAACCGACAAGATGAATCTGCGGGGAAAAAGATATATTCTTGCTTCGCATAAAAAAAAGTTTCTCTCTTTATTTTTTCTCGCTTCAATCTCTGGCGCAAGTGGCCAGATTTGATATTTCTCTTTGACTTTTGTCGTTTCAATATCCGGAGCAAGTGGTCAGATTTGATATTTATGCATAGTGGTTGGCAGTAAATTATGGTGGATCTGGTCTTTGATGATGCCGATATTTACCCACATATTTGTTTTAATCTTATAAATCAAAGGAGGTGGCTCATGGCTAATGTTTCTTCCAGCGTCCTTTTTTGGTGTTCCAGCAGGAATAGTTATAAAAGATGCAATGCAGTACATTGAACTTTTTCGATGGATCAAATGTGATTTATGGATTTTGGGATCAGCTTGAGTGATGTATTAGTATTATATTGGCATGCTGTTCTACGAACCATTGCCAAGCCTGGCAATCCTATTACGAAACCTGAGTTAGCATAACTGACATTAACATAACATGCTACTGAAATCATAATTTTGTACTAATATGTTCAAGTGCTAAATGGACTGAACCAGATGTTATTCATTGTCATATCCGTAGTATGCAGGTGCGTGGTAACATCACCACCCAAATAAAGAGGGTAGTTGTAGCGACATGCATGCATGTGTGCAAACAACCAAACAACATCGAACCTAATCTAGCCAGTACAAACAATAAAACAAACTTAAATTCATCTTCTTGTCCAGGCTAGGCTCAACCAGGCTGTCCGTATGTAAAAATCAATTTTTTACACACGGCCATTATGACATCTTTATATAAAAAGTATCATTAAAAAAATATATCTATGCCTAACTTTTACATATAAAGTTGGATGAAGACAAATTTTATATCAAAATTATATATCTTGATGAGATCTACATCTTTATAGTTGACAACATTTCTATTTTTCAGATCATTTAGAGGCCCAAATATTCATTACAATATCTTAAATCTATTTTTACAAAATCACTTATCTATGTTTTAAACAACCTTTGATTAAGACGTGCTTTATATAGGAGTTGTATCTAGAATAGATTTACAACTTTGTAATTGATAATTTTTTTAGAGTAAATTGTATTGGTGGTACATAAACATGTTAGGTGGGTGCAATTTAGTACATAAATTTATGAAATGTTCGTTTCTTCCTGCGAACAAGGACCAAAATTACTTGGCAATGTTAATTTTACAAAGCTGATGTTGATTAGGATGTGACATGCATACGTGTAGTGAGTATGCATAAGACATGCAATATTTATAATTTTGGTCCCAACTGTATCCTTTATCATGGAAATGATGGCTTTCATATATTTCTAACCCTTATAACATTGCTCAGTTTTTTAAAAACTTTTTCCACTATCACTATATTCTATTCTATTTTTCATTGAAGAGGTGTATGTCTAATATCAACCTTCTCATATATATGTTTACGGAGTATCCTAATAACCCCTAAATTAATAAGATTAGCCATGTAGTATCCTTTTCGCTTTCCTCCACACGCACCAGACAAGTTCATATACCGGCCAAAACGAGCATTTTACAAGTACGTGCACTGAATTATACCCACCTGACAAGTTCGTGTACCGGCGATGTAATTTACTTAATTTTTTATTTGAAATCATGCATGTGTCTGGTTAAAGGGTTGGGATGGGTCAGGTTAGGTTGAACACATTTTTCAGGATGTTTATTTTGGGGACAGACAGAATTAGATGATTCCTGATATTCCCCTAAAATCCGGGTTGGCTTGGTCCCTCGAAAACCGACGGACCAATCCAACCCACCTTTTCTCGTTAACATATGAGCCATCCCTTAAAAAATAAGACTATCTCATACCTCATCATGCCAAACGGATAAATGGGACCAACCCTTTCTAAAAATATGAATGAGTCCAACTCATCCCACCTCGTTTCCAAACTAAACACATGTATAATGGACTAAATAAACATTATATGTTTCGGAAAGTGAAGTCAAAAGAATAACATCTTAAATCTAAACATCAAGTACTTGATGGTAAGATGATAAGAGTGATGTGTGTGGATAGAGATTTTTAACACCTACATATTGACAGCTAAGAGTGATCGATGTGTGTGGCTACATATTGACTGCGGGCGTATTCTGTGTGGAAAAATGGTTTTTTACTAGCGACTTAGGTGCACGAGTGTGTATACTAAAATTCAAAAAAGAATATTTTTGGTTTTGTTTTGGCGACTTGGGTGCACGAGTGTGTATACACACCGGTGTCTTAATCCGCCCGTATGTGAAAAAAAAAAATCAATTTTCACATATGGATCAGCTAGCTAGCCGCTTGTGAAAATTTCACATTTTCACATATACTTGCTCCCAAAAAGCAGCTCGCTTCGCTGTCTATGAAAACTAGTTTTAGCTATATATGAAAATGCATTATGTAGCCACGGAAATCATTTTAAACTAAAAGATATTTTCGTTTTTATGCTTAAGGTGTTTCATACTATTTTTTGGAAGTTCCAATTCCATAATTATAAAAAAAACTGATAATTGTTAGTCTAAAAAGTTAAGTAGACCCTTTTCTAATGCCTTATATACCATTGTAGTTGAAGCCCAACAAACCTATCTACCACACGACGATATGATCTAGATCGTCCATTATAACCAGTGATTTTGATATTAGGGAGAATGCTGTAGGACACCGTCCTGCCTCCTTCTGTTCTATATATCCTTAGTTGAAATTATATTTTTTTATCCCAACCTTGAGGAGAGTGAACTGGTATTTTTTTTCCTTTTTAAAGGAAATTAAGCGAACCGGTCGGTAGCTCTTCTAGTCTGCACGCAAGAAGAGACGAAGTGAGAGTTTTATATATGCAGCACAAACGTACTGATCGTTGAGCCTTTGCATGGTAAGGATTGACATGTCGTCCCGGCCACTCGGAGGCAAAGTGGCGGATAGCTTCTCCCCATTCTCGTTCACTTCATGCGCTCGGTCGATGATTTTCTGTGCCTGAGCTTCGTCATAGACGCCACCGCTGAAAGTATACAACGTCATGTAATTAACTCCTCTGTTCTAGATAATTAATTAATTACGTACAAACATGGATATATGAACGTCCATGTACAAACAAATACTCCGTACTTTAATATTACTATACCGTCGTCTGTTATTACACACGGATTATTAGCTGTTTTAATCAGTCAACACATCATCGATCATATCATATATGTCGAGTCGTTTAATCAATCCGATCCAAATAATCCATATATAGTCATATAGATATATGTATACGCGTACGTACTCCTCCTTGTAGACGTTTTGGGAGAGGTAATCGTAGTCGGAGCGGAAGTTCCTAAGCTT